CTCTTCTGGTTCCAGATGAAATTTAGGAGTGATTTCTCTAGATCTATAAGGTATGTTGATGGTATTTCTATTGGGATTGCATTGAATCTGTATAAGAGTTTTGGGAGAATGGCCATCTTCACAATGTTTGTTCTTCCTATCCATGAGCAAGGGATGTCTTTCCATTTTCTGAGATCATCTTCAATTTCCTTTTTCAGTGTATTATAGTTTTCACTGTATAAGTCTTTCACTTCTTTCGTAAGAGTAATTCCTAAATATTTCATTTTTTTGCTTGCTAATGTGAATAGTCCAGTTTCTCTTATTTCCCTCTCTATAATTTTGTTGTTCATGTATAGGAATGCTATTGATTTCTGAGTATTGATTTTGTATCCAGCCACATTACTGAATTTATTTATTGTATCTAAGAGTATTTCAATGGAGTTTAGGGGGTCTTCTATGTAGAGTATCATGTCATCTGCAAACAATGATAACTTAACTTCTTCTTTTCCTATCTTTACCCCTTTTATTTCTCTTTCTTGCCTAATTGCTCTGGCTAGTACTTCCAGTACTATATTAAATAGGAGTGGTGATAAAGGACATCCTTGTCTTGTGCCTGATTTTAAAGTAAAGGCTTTCAATTTTTGGCCATTTAGAATGATGCTGGCTGTTGGTTTGTCATAAATGGCCTTTATTATATTGAGGTAAAGACCATCTATTCCAATTTTCTGTAGAGTTTTTATCATGAATAAATGTTGGACCTTATCGAAGGCTTTTTCTGCATCTATAGAAATGATCATGTGATTCTTATTTTTGGCTTTATTGATATGGTGGATTACATTTATTGATTTGCGTATGTTGAACCATCCTTGCATTCCTGGGATGAATCCCACTTGGTCATGGTGTATAATCTTCTTGATGATTTGCTGGATCCTATTTGCCAATATTTTATTGAGGATTTTTGCATCTGTGTTCATTAGGGAGATCGGTCTATAGTTCTCTTTTTTAGTTGGGTCTTTCTCAGGTTTTGGTACTAGAGTAATATTTGCTTCCAGGAACGACTTAGGAAGGATTGCTTCCCTTTCAATTTCATTGAACAGTTTGAGGAGTGTCGGCATTAGGTCTTCTTTGTATTTCTTGTAGAATTCTGCAGTGAATCCATCTGGGCCTGGGCTCTTCTTGGTGGGTAAGGACTTAATTACATTTTCAATTTCAGTAACAGAGATTGGGTTATTCAACAGTTTTACATCCTCTTGATCTAGCTTTGGCACTTCATATGCTTCTAAGAATCTGTCTATTTCTTCTGTGTTATCAAACTTTTGAGAGTAGAGGTTTTCGAAGTAGGTGTTGATGATCTTCTGTATTTCTATTGGGTCTGTAGTGATTTCTCCTTTTTCATTTCTTATTGCATGAATTTGAGCTTTTTCTTCCCTTTTTTTAATAAGGTTGGCTAGGGGCTTATCGATTTTATTTATTCTTTCAAAGAACCAACTCTTTGATTTGTTGATTCTTTGGATTGTTTTCTTAGTCTCTATTGCATTGATTTCTGCTCTGATTTTTATAATTTCCTCTCTTCTTTTGGCTTTGGGCTTGACTTGCTCTTCTTTTTCTAGCTGTTTGAGGTGTAGCATCAAGTTATTTATTTGTATTCGTTCTGTTTTCCTGATGTGGGAACTCAGTGCAATAAATTTTCCTCTCAGGACGGCTTTCATTGCATCCCACAGGTTCCGGTAAGTTGTATCTGTATTTTCATTTTCTTTTAGGTATTGTTTGATTTCTTCTTTAATTTCCTCTGTGACCCACTGATTACTCAAGAGTGTGTTATTCAGTTTCCATGTGTTTGTGGGATTTTTGCAGTATCTTTTATCATTAATTTCTAATTTCAGAGCGCTATGATCCGATAACACGCAAGGGATGATTTCAGCTCTTTTGCACTTGTTTAAATATGTTCTGTGAGCTAATATATGGTCTATTTTAGAAAATGATCCATGTACTGCTGAGAAGAATGTGTATTCAGATGTTGTTGGGTGGAACATCCTGTATATGTCTATCAAACCCATTTGTTCACAGGTATGATTCAGTTCTGTTATTTCTTTGCTCATTTTCTGTCTGGTTGATCTGTCCCTTGGTGTCAATGGCGTATTAAGGTCTCCTGTTACAATTGTGTTACTGATAATTTGAGTTTTCATTTCTGTTAATAATTGTTTTATATAACTTGGTGCTCTGGAGTTTGGTGCGTATATATTTAAGATAGTTATCTCTTCCTCTTGGAGTTTTCCCCTTACGAGTATGTAGTGACCTTCTTTGTCCTTTATGGTCATTGTTGGTTTAAAGTTCACGTTGTCTGCAAACAGAATGGCTACTCCTGCCTTTTTCTGGATTCCTGCTGCATGAAGAATTGTTTTCCATCCTTTGACTTTCAGTCTGTGAGTATCCTTCTGGGTTAGATGGGTTTCCTGTAAACAGCATATGGTTGGATTTTGTTTCTTGATCCATTCTGCTAGTCTGTTTCTTTTGATTGGTGCATTGAGACCATTTACATTAATGGTTATTACTGTTAAATGCTGGTTAATTGTAGGAATGTTATCTCTCTGCTGTTGCATCTTTATCTTTCTGTTCTGTTTAATTATTTGCTTTGCTTAGTGGTTTTTTCCTTTGTGTATCTAAACTGTCTTTCAATATTTTTTGCAGGGTCGGTTTGGTGTTCATGAAGTTCTTCAGCTGTTCTTTGTCATGGAAGTATCGTATTGCACCATCTATTTTGAATGATAGTTTTGCAGGATATATCAGTCTTGGTTGGAAATCATTTTGCTTTAGGATCTGGAATATTTCACTCCATGCTCTTCTTGACTTTATCGTTTGTGCTGAGAAGTCTGCTGTGATTCTGATAGGTTTTCCTTTATAAGTGATCTGTCTTTTCTCTCTGACAGCTTTTAGTAATCTATTCTTGTGTTGGATTTCTGGGATGGTGATTATTATATGTCTGGGTGTAGTTTTATTTTGGTTATGAGTGTTTGGAGTTCTATATGCTTCACTGATCTTGATGTCAGTTTCTGATCTCATGCTTGGGAAATTTTCAGCTATTACTTCTCTAAATATCCGCTTGACATCCTTTATGTTGTCTCCCTCTCTTTCATTAATCCCTATCATTCTTATGTTATTCTTCTTTGCATCGTCTTGCAGTTGTTGAATTGTTGTTTCCTGATTCCTTGTTATTTTCAAAAGATCTTTCCTTTCCTGTTCACTAGCTGCAATCATGTCTTCAAGGTCTGAAATTCTATCTTCACTTTCATTAAGGCGGTTTTTACAACTTTCAGTGGAGTTTTTTATTTCCTGTATATCTCTGTGCATCTGCATTATGTATTCTGTTTGTTTCTTATATTGCTCGTCTAGGGATTCTATCTTTTTGTTTAGTTCCTCCAATTTTTTATCTGTGTTTTCTTTAGATATATTTAGAATCTCTTTCATTTCTTTTATCATTTCTTCTTTTATCTGGGAGATTATTTCGAGTTTGAATTTCTTTAAAGCTTCCTGGAGTTGTTTGTCAACTTCAGTAGCTATTATGTCCGATATATGAGGTGGATGGGATATATTTTCTTCTATATACATTGCTCCTAGGGTTTCCTGAGATGGGCTGGAGGTTTGAGGTTGTAATTTGGTCTTTCGTTTTGTCATTTTGTATATTTCTGTGTTTCAAGTGTTATTTGAAAGCTTCCTCAGGATCTGTTGAAAATTCCCTTCTATGTTTGGAGCTACTGAGCCTCTGACACCGCACTACCCCAAGCCATTGGGCCTGCAGAACCAGTGTCCCTCCTCTGCCTGCTCAGAACTCCGCAGTTCCAGACAAGCTGGGCCTCAGGGACACTGTGCGCCCACCTGCCCCTTGGAAGATCCACAGCTCTTCAATTGCAGCCGGGTTAGGGTGCTCTCCACAGGCCACAGTGCCTCAGGATCCTGTGATCCCTCCCTGCTTGCAGAGATATCCACAGTCCTCTAGGCAAAGGAAGGGACTTCTGCAGGCACTCCAGATCCGCCCAGCTCCTCCTCTGCAGGCAGATGGCTAGGCGCGGCTGGGCTCGGGGGTTAGTGTAGGCCCGCCCATCCGTCAGGAGCTCAGCAGACTTCCAAGTGTAGCCGGGGGGGATGGGGAGGCAGCTGTAGTGGCCTCTAACCCACTGCTCCACTTCACTGCACCCAGAAGCCTGGGGGGTCCGGAACAGTCTGAGATTTGGGCAGACTGTGCTGGGCACTCACCACAGGCTGAGGTGCCTCAGGAAGCTGCGATGCCTCCCTGCTTGCAGAAGTATTCAGTCCTTCAGACAAAGGAACGGGCTTCTGCAGGGACTCCGGATCCGCCCCATTTTCTACTATTTCTACATCACCCAATTCCTTAATACACATTTGATTTTATATAAACTCTGCTCAAGGAGAGTAATTTTAAAAATCTAGTACCGCTAACATAGGTTAGCAAATGAGAAAATATAATTTAAATGAGGCAAAATAATATATGTTATAATATTAGCTCATGAAGGTAATTTAACTTAAACAGAAAATTAATAGTTATTTACTTTTATCCTGGTTTAGAAGTGAATTGTAACCTACTGATTACTGATAATCTTTCCCTGACCTGTATTTCCTTCTGACTTGTACTTCTTGATTTTCTATGTGTTTTTCTTCTAACTTACAAAATTCAGCCTTAAACGGAATCACCTAATCTTTGACAGAAATTGTTCCAAAATGCAAAGCATACACAAATATGTAATATGTAAACAGGACAGTGGCTACAAGAAATAGTTCTTATGGGTAATAATCTTGTCAGCTCAATTTATCAGCCACAGGTGGTCCTATCTGTCAACAGTCTAAATAGATCCTCATATCTTTTCAGTAAAGCGACACTATTCCATAATTATTTAGAGAATGCATTTTGATTGTATATATGCTTTTACTGAAACCTAGTGTTCCTTTTCTTTAAAAATATCTTTATATGTTCATAACTTTCATTTATCTTCTCTCTCTTTTTTTAGGTAGAGGAGCAGTTTCAGAGCCTAAAGAAATTTTATCAAACCAAAATCCCTCGGAAAGAAGAGGATGATGCTAAAGCCCAGTTTTGGTCTGGCTCAGCTGAGAAGCAGTGGCAGCTATTTTTAAAGAAAAGTTTTTTATCCCAAGACCTGGGGATCAAGTTCCTTAATTTAATACAAATGGTAAGAACATTAAATGAGTCACACTTTCTACAAGGATTACTTATCAATGTCAAAATCATAAATTCAAGAGTTCTATGTCTATTAATTAGCAGGGCTGTTTTCCAAAGTTCCTTTTATCTTCAATCTAGACCAGTCCTGAAGCCCAACATTTGTATGCTTACTTGGTCAGAGAGCCCTGACTAATTTATAATGAGAAGACTTCATTTAACCATTAAGAAGAAAGAGCAACTATAGATCAAGTGCGACATCATTATTACAAAGTCCTCAGAAGTCACACCAAAGTTCTGAGTTATGTGGGAAGCATGCAATGAGGTCCTTATAAAATTTTCAGGGGCTCCAACAGGTTATATAAGGGATGAATCTTTGTTTTGAAGAATTTCAAACATTTTTGAATCTTGTTCAGATCTTCAGCAGATCTTTCTATAGTGATGCTCCATTGCATTTACAAGTGTGTCTAAACTTAGTAATTGCAAAACTGTAAAACACGCTAGCATTCTTATATCCACCTCTGATGCAAATATTTTCCTGGAATTCTTAAAGACGGTTAATCCCACCTGCTTTCATTGCCTCGGGAATCTTCCTAATGAAATTGCTTATTTCATTATTAAGAAGTGCCAGCTGCTAGAAACTTTATTTTTTGAAATTTTCAATCACTCAATCTTATTTATCTAAATGTTTGTAAATTTTAAATAAATCTCTCTTCCTATCTCTTCTAACCATTGCTACACAGGAATGAAAAGTATTTATATTTAATTTCTCTGACATGTGAAATTCCTTTCACCATTGAAACCAGTTGCCAAGTCTAACGTGAGTCTTTTTTTATAGCTAAACACACACAAATCTTTATGTGTGTGTTTTAGCAGCTTAATTTTTCTCTCCATGCTTCTCTTTCTTTCTAGCACTGTCTACCACTTTAAAAAAATTAGAAGATATAACCTGAAAGCAAGCACAGCTACCACACAGTGTATGAAAAGCCTGCACATCATTGTGTACTAATGAGACCTAAAATGAGGCTAACATTTTTAGCAGCAACTCTGTTTTGCTATTTTCATATTAAATTTATGACTGAGCAAAGCTCATAACCTTTGTGCAGCAGCTTCAGTCAAGCCAGGTCTCACCCATATTATGTCAGTCATTTGTGTTTGTCATACAAATGTGAACCTGCATTTTTATTCTTACTTGATTTCATTTGGTCTTCACCCGCCCTTCCCTCTTGTTAAACTAATTTGAACGTATTTACTATATTAGCTATTTCTCCTGGTTTTATTTCTGTAGATTTGACAAGTAAGCCTCTGTGGCTGTAATTAATTCTTTAATAAAAATGCCTAAAAAGCAGATTGATGTCCCTGTTTATGAAGCAATCTATTGATTAACCAGTTTTTTAAACAAGCATGAACCGTCCCAATAGTGCTTTTATTCAACCATGACTTCACAATAATTTTCCAAAGTCTATAATGGGAAAATTCCTCAAATGAACTGCTCAACACAAGGCCTATATAGCTAAGGTACTATGAACTACATAAATATTATTTGACACACATCAGGCTGACTTCTAGTGATGAAGGCATTTTTTTCCCAAAATGCTCACAGAGTATTTGATAATGACAGAATTATTGCACTAGATATCAGTGTGAAATTTACACACCTGTCACTTGTGTAATCCATCCTTTGTTCCCTTTTGAAAATCAGGACATTCTCCTTTACCTAATTATCTGGACCTTCTAGTTTCTGTAGATTTTCAGAAACTGACATTTGCAATTTTCTTGGTACCTTGGGATGCAATTAATCTCTTTCTGGAGCCTGAATTCACTTAGAGGAGTTAGGTATTTACAGTCCTCATCTACTCTGAGCTGTACACATCTTTTTATTTTCTTCATTTTAACTTTTATTGTATGAAGATGACTATTGATAAACCTATATAAAACATAATATGCATTAAATGCTTCTTACGTAACCGACATAGCCCTTAAGCATCCAAAAATTTGCTAAGCAATTAGCCGATGTTTCCATGTAATGTGGAAGCTTTATAGAGAAGTCCAGTTGTTTTCTGTTTGCTCTGTTTAGAACATCTATCCATGTATCTTTTGCACATGTACTTGGTTCAGTATACTTTCTTCCATCTCTTGATTATATATACTTCTAAAATAATCCAAATACTTGTAAGATTCATGTTTTGACTATCATTTTTATTGCTAAATTCATTTCAGAGTAGTATTTTTTCAGCTCAGAAACTTGCAGTTGGTTCTTTTAAAACTTACATTTAATTGCTGATGGAATTTTCTTCTTCGTGTTCTACTTTTTCTGTATATTCTTGAATCATATTTATGCTAGGGGTTTTACATGTGTATCAATTCGCTCCACCTTGTCTACTTTTTCTCTCAGTCTTTTCTCAAGTAGTTCTGTGTTTTGACAGAGCTTGTAAAATATATCAAATCCAGGAACTGGACAGGCTTCTGGTGACGCTCTCCCTTTCTAGAATGGGTCACCCTTCTTTCTCCAGGTGGGCATTGGTGGGAGGTCTCTGAAGCCAATCAGAAGCTGTGAATCTGCAATCCCACCTTTCCAAAGCTCCATCCGCTGTTCACCTTGGGCTCTCAGGGTTCTCTACCAAGGACTCAGTGCTTTCTCTCGAGTCTCTGCCCCCGGTGGGTCCTAGCTCCAATCTTTGTCTTAGGCAACTGCTGAAAAACTTCACTTTGCTTTCCGGGGGCTTTTTGCTTAGATTTTTAAGATCATTCTCTTGTATGGACCCAGTATTTTATCAAGACCCTTAGAAGAAGATCTCCCCAAAGCTCCATTGCTATTTACAGGAAATCCTTGAATTTCAGTTTCCTGTCCATGCACCAAATTAGATACTGCCCCTGGGGAGAAGATGGGAATAGATACATGAGCTTACCCGGCTCTTGCGGTTGGTGCGGCAGCTGTGTGCTTCTTTCAGAGCAGAGCTTTCTGCACACAGCCGGCTTCACTAGTTGGTCTAAACAGGAGCACGTTCTACCACACCTACTGCGTCCTACCCCAAGCAGAAGTTCTTTATTTCTTGTTTAGAACATTTAGGATTGTACTCAAGCTTTGTTTTTTAAGATCTGTAACAGGAACCCAGTCCAAGTCATATTTTATATTATGTCTGAATAAACTTGAGTTTTTATAATATTCAAATTATCATTCTGACTTCTCAGAAATAGTGTGCATTTTACTATTACATCTTGATAGGCTTTTATCTTGAAACCCAAACATGGTCACTTTATCTCAAAGTCTTCACCATTGTCCTGGTAAATAGGTTTCCCTTTATAGACAAAAATTAAAATTCACATGATCATTTTAATGGTTTAGTGACATTCTCAGATATGAAATTGCTGGTGAAGTTAAACATTTTTCTTACATATCTGTGCAATCATTACACATTCAGACAAATACTGCAGATGAAATATGGTAACTGTTTTGTTTGTGAGAAAGAAGAGGCCCAGCTGGTCTGGACCATTGAGGGTTCTGCTCTGGTTTGATTGCCATGGATAATATTTTCCAGCTTGAGATTGAGAACATTTTTGGTTCATCCAAAAATCATGAAGATCAGAGAAATTGCTTTAGACCTTAATTCTAATAGATGAAAGTGCCAATTTATTATAGGTCTGAATACCAAGAATGCTATCCAGGACCAGCCTGCATGTTAAGAACTTATCTGGAAATAAGCAATCAGAAGTCCAGTCACAGTGCACATATATTAGATGGAAAATGGGTATTTCAGTATTTGTTTAGACTGGATTATGACAAAATTTTCCATGCCCTACACAGAAGTAAAATGATCATCGTGTTTACTCACTAGACTGCAGACAAATTATTTAATATTTCTGAGTGGCCAAAATATTAAGTCCTCCAACCACAAAATCATTTGTCCTAAATTGTACTATGCAGTTAGACATCAAGAAACCCTACTAGAGCTTTCCATACCCTTCTGATTGTAGGTGTCATTTTTGTAGGCAAGGATAGCCTGGCTAGAGCTGGCATTTTGATTTCTAGTTTTCAAGGTGGATTATTTTTTGAGTAAGTCTTATTTTTGAGGAAACCCAGGGTACATATGATGGATGAATTTAAAGGAAAATCAGAAATCCTGCACAATCAGTTCCCTCCTTCTCTTGGATGCCGAGATTTTTGCATATTCTAAAGAGTACATTAAAATAAAAGGTAGAATACACTTTTAAGTTTGTGCAGTAGACTTCAAAATTTATCAGTTCTGGTGCTCATAAATTGCCCTTCAAACACTAGAGAATAACAAGACTATAGGTAGAAACTCAAGCACTGTTTCTGTATTTCTTGTGAAAGGAAAAGTATTATGTGAATTATTAATTTAACAGGTAAAAAAGAGCGAGATAACAAATGGGGAAAATGAAGCCCACATTATGGAGAGCACCCTGGAAAACCAGAAGGCTGAGCGGGCAGAGCTCAGCCACCTTCGGGTTGCATGGCAGCTTGAAGCTACCTCACGTGAGCCCATGAAGCAGCGGTGGGGAGCATTCAAAGAGCAGCTTAAGAAGGTGAGGCAGTGTGCTTGTTACTGAACCTGAAACAGAAATGAAATTCTGACACCTGCTACAACGTGATAGACACTGGAAAGCTATCAGGCAAGTTTCATACACCAGGCACCAAAGAATAAATATTGTGTGATTTCATTTATGCGAGGTGCCTGTAGCCAATCCATAGACACAGAAAGACGCCCTTGGTGGTTTATCACTATAAGCTCAAAGATTTTTAGTTTCAGGGGTTGAAAAGTTTGACAGTTCACCAAGCATAATCACCAGGTATTTACTGATGGAGAAAAGGAAAACATCCTTATAAGTATCCACTGTTTGTTTCAGACTTCTCACAACTTAAAGCTTCTTCAGGAAGTACTCATGCCTGTGTCCGCCCTTGACCTTGGAGGAAGCCTCCAGACCATTGCAGATCTGCAGAAAAAATGGACTGAAATGAGGCCACAGTTCCAGGTGAAGATAAATGGATGGATTTGAGGAAATTAAAAGAAATGATTTAAAAACTATTCCACTATAAGTTTATCTAATTAATTTTTACAGCCCGGTGAACTTCTTTCTTTCTTTCTTTCTTTTTTTTTTTCTGTCTTTCTATTTTAACAAAACCATTGCTTGTCTAAGACTCAACTGTAAAGACATATTTTCTTACTCCTTTTCTGTTTGCATCTGTATTTAATAATACATAATTGTTTGGCCCACAAAATGCCCTGAATTTACTTTTAATCTTAAATTAGTCATTAAATTATTACTACATTTAGCATATATTCACTCTAATTAATATACTATGTATGTATGTATAAATCATAGAGACAGAAAGCAGAATAGAAGTTACCAGGGCTGCAGAGAGAGAGGCAGGAAGTGGGGAGCTGTATAAGGGGTACAGTTTCTCTTTGGGTTGATGCAAAAGCTCTGGAGACGGATGATAATGATGATGTATACTCAAAATGGTAAAACTGGTGAATTTTGTTTTATGTTACCACAATAAAAGCAAAAAAAGGGCAAAGGAAAACAAGGCACTTAGTGGTTTAGCACCTAATTACTCTAATTGCTAAGAAAAGTTTAAATAAAAACATCTCAGAACAAGGATGGGCAATGTCTCACTTAGGGACTCTGATGCCCTTGGTGTGTGAAATCACCTTACATTGTCGGGTCACTGGCACTGCAGTCCCCACTGCTATCCCAGGAATTTTGTTGTGCTCCGTCTCTTGCCCCTCTCAGAAAACCCCCAGGATATGAGCCACACCCCTGGCCCAGATTGCCTCACCCCTTCCCCCCCACCCCACCCCACCCTCACTACTTCTAAACTTGACACGACTGTCTAAACAGGTCACCCAAATCACATTAGGTCACATCAGGTGTGGGTTTTGGGGTTTGCGTAAAACTAAGATACCTGTGTTTTTATCTGTGATTACTTTGTGTCATTTATTTTCCCCTGGCAATTGAATTCACAACCTTGCACTTGCCAGGCAGGTGCTGTGCCCCTGAGGTACATTCCTGGTTACTTTGTGTCATTTTTAAGAAATCCCCAAATCAGATGATTGGAGATTCTTCTGGAAAATACCTAATCATACGTTCCTTAAGACAAAACTTAGGTAAAAATATAACCACCACCTTTACCATGCACGCGCACTATTGTAACCCACAGCCAACTTAACAAAACTCTCGGAAAATGTGAGTAGCCTCTATTCCATTCTTTGACATTCCCTGTGTTCCATGATTATTTGGATTTCATTTGGGAACATGTTTCTGGATGCATGTGTATCTACATCAGAACCACTGCCAAGTTTATGTAGTTCTGTCACTGTGAAGTGCATGTTTTTGATGTCTGTGTGCTTGATTTGAACCTGAAGACCCTATGTAAGTCAGTCTTCTGAAAATTTTCTCTACTTAAATCATTTCTATTACTGTCTTGGTAACTTTTCCAGTTGCTAAGATGAAATACCCAACACCCAAAGTTAACAGAGGAAAGGTTTATTTTGGCTCATATTTTGTAGAGGTTTCAGTCCATAGTCTGCTAACTCCAAGACAGGGTGGCATAGCAGGGGGCATTCCAGAGAAGAAACAGTTCATGACATGGCAGGCAACCAGTAGCAGCAACCAGCAGCAGCAAGCGCAGCTTCTTTCTGTCCCTTTATATTCCATCCAGGCACAAGCCGATTGATTGAGTCACATATATCCAGTCCAATGTCCACATCCTTAAACTCAGTATCACACCCTTACACCACATTCAGACCCACTAATCCAACCACCTTCAAAAGTCTCTATCTTTGACTACATGAGGCTTTAGGGGACATCTAGATATAACCACAGCAATTGCTTTGAGCTTTGGTGCAAGGTTCACTTCTGAAATTATAGAACCATCCCTATTAAGTTATCCACTCTTTGCAAGTTCTTTTCTAGAACCTAGATTCCTATAAGGGATGTCTGAGCAGTACTGGGGAACAGGGAAGGCAATTTATCCCTCTCTGAATGTGGTGGCTATTTGTGGATTCTGGGATGACCTCTTTGAAGCAGTGTATCTACTGTGCTGTTAAGTTGGTTGTTCATTCTGCATTCTCTTATCAGAGAGTGCAAGTAACTCCCTGATATAATTTTACTCTCATCTTCTCTTGGTGTTCTTACTGTACCATCCACTCTAGTTTTATATGAAGTATCAGAGATGATCATGGGTTTAAATAACTATCTCAAATACACTTACTTAACAAATGTCTAGCATATTTGATGTGCTATAGAAATACAAGACTTCCCATGTTACTATTTAGCTTTCCAACACTGGTTTTTTTTTTTTTTGATCATAAAAATCTGAGCAGATAAGAATGGAATGATACATCACAAGCATCAGGCACAGTGCCTGGATTTGGGGGAGGTCTCAAAATAAGCAGGTGTTAACAAATGAGAGAATGGTTCATGATGTAGATTGTCACTTGTAAACTAAAACATTTATGAAGACTGGATTTCTTATATTGCTTTCATTTTTTTTTTAGCAACTGCATGATGAGGTTCAGTACATTGTGAAAGAATCACAAGGGCTAAGTGACAAAGGAGCCCCTGTGAAAGAGAAATCTCAACAGCTCAAAGATATTATTCACCTCCATCAGAAACAGACAGAGAGAATCCAGGATTATGAGAATGTCCTATACAAACTAGTCCAGTTCCACCAGGTTAAGGAGGAGGTAAGTCTTACCGTGAATATTCAAAAGATCCTAGGTTTTACACCAGGACATTAAACATTACCCTAGGACATTGTCATGCCAGATTGCGTGGCCTGATATTAGAAGCCTATACAATCTGGCCCCTAACTTACCTCTCACTCTACCCCGATCTTCTCACAGTCCTGGCAAACTCAGCTCTTTCTTTGTCCCTCAAGGATGGTGCACACCTTCCTGCTCCACGCCCTGACTCTCAGCCTATCTACCTGGCAGCTGTTTCTCTCTCCTCCCTGTCAAGTAAACCCTGTACCTCCTTCCCAGAATCCTACCTCCTTTGGAGTGGTCCTCGTTCTTCTAAATTTCTGGAGCTCTTGTGGTTTATTACCTGGCATATTTAACATCTTAACTCGTAATTACTTCTTAATCAAAATAGATTTTTTTTCCAATTCAAGTGAAAGGTGTTTGAGGGAACAGGCCACGTAAAACATTTCTGAATATTCTGTACCACAATGATGAGGTTTTCAGTGAATATTGTTGGTTGCTTTTTTCAACAAAAACTTTAGAGGTTTTAGCCTCTAATAGCACAGAAGTAGAGGTAGATTAATATCCCTTTAAAATAACCTCTGAGTTTGTTCAGATCACAGTTTACCTAGACCTTTGCTAAGGTTTTAGGTTACAACTGAAGAAGCTATTTCCTTTCTTCCTAGAACTGACAATGCTACCCCGTTGGATTTATAATTCTACAACTTAGACTCACCATAATATTAATAATTATGGATTAACAGCAACAAGTTGACTAGCTAATAAAGCATGTTAGAAAAATAGAAAGTTTTTAAAAAATTGTTTTCATATGAAACCCAGCTTAATTGTTAATGGCCTACATTCCAGCTGGGACGTCTTACCAAATCCAAAGAACTGGAGTTTCAAGACCAGCTGAAGGAACTGAGCGATGCCCATGAGGCCCAGATTCATCTTGGTCGCTCTCAGGAAAAGCAGGCACACGTAGAGCGTCTCCAGGAACTGGCCTTTTCCTTAGGAGTGGACATCATCTCATCAGCACAGCAGCCCGTAAGCATCCTAGAACAGCATCTTTTGTAACTGTGTCTCATTGGGGGTTGCCCATGCTATAAAAAAAATCCTGATGGCTTAATATGTATTAAGTTTAAACATACAGTAAACCATTAGAGTAATTATTTGGGATGAATTTCTATCACTTATGGAAAAGAATTTAAAAGAAAATCTGAATACAAAAGTTAATATATCTAATCGCATATAATTTTTTTTAAATTTTATTTTAGAGAAAGTAAAAGCAAGCAAAATAAAACAGTAAAGCAAATCAAAACAGGACAGCATAAGTGACACAGGACTTCAAAACAAGATAACAGAAAATCAACAGTGGCTACTATAATGCCTCTGGTTATCTTCAAAATAGCTGCCGATCCTTCAGATACAGTAAAATCAAACAAAACAAAACAGAAACAGAATAGAATAAAAACAAAACAATAAATGCAGTATAGGACTTCAAGACAAGATAATAGTCAATCCAGAATGGCCACCACAATATAGCATGTCATTTTCGAAATAACCTACCCGTGCCCTCAGATACAGCAAAGTCAAATAAGATAAAACAGGATCAAACCAAAAAATGGGAATGATATGAGATTCAAAGCAAGATAATAGGGAATTAACAGCGGCTACTACCTCTAGAAAGAGATTCCCCCATATATTGTTATCCTCTGAATAGATGATCAGACTACCCACTTTAGACCTGCAAAGTCAGTGAAACACTAAATACTATAAGCATTAAGTTGTATTTTACCTCAATAGCTATCATCACAGCCTGTGCTTCTCCAGGTCAGCCAGTCACTTTTAGGGGTGGGAGGGGTTGATTCTTCTTGTCTCCCTGCCCCTGTACCTAAAGGGGCTGGCATCTGGCTCTCTTGCAGTTAGTTCACACGTAGAGACAGCTCACAGGAGGTCTTGGCTGCTTGTTGACTTCTTGTTCTCCTCTCCCACAGTCCGTGAATGCCGCGGACTCACAGAAGAGGGCTGGCCTCTGGCTGTCCCCCAGTCAACCTGGACACCGTGCCAGTCACATTCCCCAGTCAGCCCGTGCTGACTGATTCATGGGAGGTCTTAGCTTCTTGGTGACTGCTTGTTCTCTCCTAATTTCATATTATTTTAAAAGGGAGACAGAGACTCCTGAATGATATTTATGTTTTCACATTTGAAATGTGCTTAATGTAATTAAGAACTAATCTTTTTATTTCATCTGAATTAATTTAGACTTAAAATTAACTCTCAGTTATTGGAAGCTTCCAAGTATGTCAGAAGTAAGTTGGGCAAATGAATCTACTTTGGAAACTAAATCCTATGGAACAATCAAATATCACATAGTATATTCAAATATCACATAGAAATTTAGCTACATTTGGAATATACAAGGTAGGAAATGTATAACAGATTTCAAAGACTTAAAAAATCATATTAATACCACATATTGAGTTTTTATAGAATAACAATATTTAGACATGTTTGGTTAAGTAAACAATGTTATAAAATTATGGTTTTACTTTTCAATGATTGTTGGAAATATGAAAATCATTTTTATGGCTCATATTATATTTTTTACTGGACAGTACTCGTTAGCATTGAAGATGTGAAAAACCACTAGATCCTAGATCTTTTCTAGATTAACACCCTCATTTTATAGAGGAAGAACATGAGACCCAGAGATTCTGGCTAACTTAACTGTAAAAGCCTGATGTGGAGGAGCCCAAGTCCCCTTGTTCCACCCAGGGCTTTGGGCATTAGCTGTTGGCTCTGCATTATACCACTGGACAGATTTCATCAAAGGAGTCTAAAACAAAAGGCAATATTTCCAGGTCAAATTTTCATAAGTAATGTCCTGGGCTGTGTTTTTATTTAAAAAAAAAAAACTTTCTCCAAATTCTTAACTCAAGGGGAGAAAAGATTATAATTTACTCCATTAATATGTATAATACTGATAAAATTTTATTTTAAGGTTCATTTAAGATATCCATGAATGCAGGTACCTAAAGTATATTTTTTAAAAGAAAAACTGAAAGAAATATAAGCCCTTTTGCTCATAATAGAATCTACTTTTGCCTGGAAAGAGCTTTGTTTTAAAGAGTTTTATTTTTAAAAAGGAAAAGTAAGATGTCTCACTGTACAAATAATGCAAATTGTCCCCCAATCCTCTTCTGGTCTTGGCCCTAGTAGCCCCTCTGTGATACGCTGGAATTGGAGAGCACTTGCAGAATGAACCCAAGGTTAAACTCTAGTTGACAGGAAAATTATAGTGCAGAAGCAGGACATTTTTAATGCATATTTTATGCCTTTTGAAGTAAAAATTATACCTTATGATGAGTAGTGTCTCTGAGGAGTAAGGTATGGTGAATAAATCTTCAAAGAGATTCCAGATGGAAAATGTCTTCCCCATAATGTTGGGTGTCTGATTTCTTTCTGAAATAATAATATTCAAGTGTATTTATGGTCAAATAAATTAGGATCCTAAGTCTTCTTTTCAAGCATCATTTCTGAGCTTCATGGTGCAGGTAAATACTGCATCTGTTGCACTGCAGTTTCATTCAGTCTTTTTGTTCCTTTCACGTGTCTTCCGTTTATAGAACTGCTCTAATATTTCTGCGAAGAACTTGCAGCAGCAGCTGGAGGCCCTTGAGGTGGACCACATGAACTGGCGTGCAAGAGCCAAGGAGCATGAGCAAGCCTGGTCCCTCAGCTTGGAGTTCTGTGCTACAGGAGCTGAGATAAATGAGGTGGGGTCCTCAAAACAGGGCCAAAGATGCTTTGAACCTAAAACGCCTACATTGGGGCCCATACATATATATATATTTGCACACACCAACACACACACATACACACACACACAGTGAATCCGGAAGTTTTCTTTGCATCTACGCCCTTGAATTTTTCAAACAGTGGTCTCAGCCTTCTACAAGTTTGAACGCACTCCAAGCTAACAAATGCCTTAAAGTCAATATGCTGTCATTCCATAGAAAAGCCTAGATTGTCATGTTACAGGCTTTTTTGTGGATGCTCTTGTTGGTTTGATTTTTCGCTGGTTTTCTCCATTTAAACCCTCAGAGAAGTCATTGCTGGAGAGGGTCCAGCATTTTTAGGGGGCAGGGGAAGGGTGGCCTGTCCCTGCGGTGCTGGCTTGGCCTGTCGAGATTCTATTTAAGTGCTGTTGACTCAGGGTGGAAAGAGGTGCTAAGGAGATCAGATACTTTGCTCCAGAGCTCCCAAGCACTATCACCAGGGTCAAGTGCTTACAAATTGAGTGGCTTTCGTGGCAAAACAATGCAAGTGAAAAAGAAATAGCAGATGGAAGTGGCCCTCCATATCCCTGTGACCCCCGTATGCACAATTCTACCTCCTCCTCATCAGCTGTGCCCAACACCCATCCCTAGACACTTATAATCACCCCACTCCCACTTAAGCTTTCTCTTTGCAGGCAAGGGCCCTGGTTTTTGGCTGGAAATTGATAGCAGAACATAGTGTACCCATAAATTCCAGATTTATCTCCCCTCAGAGCTTAATATTTCTAAATTCATTAAGCCATAAATCCACTAAGCAATGGAGAAGAGAAAAGAAGTTAACCTTCTTGAACTGTCAGTTTATGTCCAGTCTGCATAATCTGAGCTCCTCAAATGTCTAATGTCACCAAGTAGCACCAAAGCAAAGAATAAAGTAGGAATGATCACTTTAATGGTGGCCAGGCTCTGCATTTCCCCACTGCAGGCCACACCTTTGCAAATTACAGGCAGGTGGGGCCAGAAGGAAAGTGAGAGGAAGAGAGCAACCACTCAGATCTCCTTTCACAGAAGGGAAGCAGGAGGTAGCATCTAACCACTGTTTTGACTTTAGTTGTATGCCACAAAATGGTAATTGCTTTATACAGTTTGTGTTCTAGGCAGTTACTTTGGGCCAGAGCCCTGTCAGCTCATCTCTGGTTGCATCTATAATATTGACTGCCCTCTGCATAGTACAGTGTCTTCTTCTAGTTCCTGTGCTGCAGTTTATACCTCTATCAACCCTGGTTAAAGAAAACAGTCAGAGCTTGTTGGTCTCTCCCCAAGGCTATGAAATTTGGGTTTGTGGCCATGGAAACAACTTTTTAATATTTACCCAAAGTCTTCTCCTTTCTTCCCGCCTTCATGCTGTGTCTCCCTCCTCTTCCTATTCCTTTCTCTTTCTTCTCCTTTTTTATCTTTCTTGCACAAACCCTCCCTCCTTGCAGTGATGGCCCAGCTCTGTATTTACTGAAGACACAATCAGACCAGACCGAGAGTATTCCCAGCCTCCTCTGGCTCAAATTCTATCTCCCTGATGGGTTGTGGCATTTCTGGAGCTGGGTCTCCCCGTTCTGGCCCTGCCAGCCGCAGGTCTATTTATGAGAACTGCCTTGTGATGAGCCTACACTTGGAGCTAGCCAGCAGAATGACAGATAACACTTCCAGTCGTAGTAGGGACACCCCAGGATTGTCTGTACCACATCAGGAATGAGCAACCAGATACGTGCAGGTTTGATTTGGGAATCAGATATCACTTTAACACACTCTTAAATATTAAGAGAGGCAGACTTCCCATTTGCTTCTACTTCATATTTAATAAATCTCTAATGTAAGTTTAAAAGACCTTCTAAAACCTTGGATCCTTTCCTCCTCTCTTATTTCTATGGAGACGTACTAAGCATGTCAGTGAAGCATCCACACCAGGGCTCTCCCATCACAGCCTAATGGGAAAGTAATCAGGAATATTTTCAGTGTCCATTAGTAAAATAAAGGTAGATGTGTTCTAGTTTATATTGTGAAAATCAGAACATAAACAGATGGTCGGTTTCCACAGTCATTCAGTTTCCACAATGGTAATAATATTGATATCTGGATATCAGAGTTATTATTATCATGATTAGTTTTTAAAGTCAGGTACTTAGCACATTATGTAAAATAAATTGTAATATGTTACACATTTTTTCTTACATAAATACTAAAATAAAATATGTTTCAAGGAAACCAGACCACATGTTGTATTTGGTTATTTTTAAAATTGATTCTAAACCACATTGATTTACTTCCAGTGCACCTGAAGTCTTTGAAACTCAGTTCAGACAGATTGAGTGGAGATTGTTTAGCTCCATGTCTTCATTTTTCAGATGAGAATCCTGAGGTGCAGATATGATTTTTCACTTTACTAGTGTGCTAGCAAGTTTTTGTTTATAGTATTTCAGAAGGTCAACGTTGGGCTCGAGCTTCATTTGTTGAGCCTTCGACACACTTGTCTTTTGCTAAATTCAGAATTCATCACTCACATTATGTGATCCCATTCTAACATTGCATGGTCTCATGTTAAATGTGTCTTTTTGCTATTTTTTACCCTTCTATCCTTGATCTCTAATAGTTATGTCTTAGCATGTTTATATGATCTGGTATAATAGTACAATTTATTTGGTCATTTCAACAAAAATTTGTTTCTTGACTATGCTATAGGTAACTTATGTGGTGTTAATTCCATTGAAAATCCTTACAAGAGGTCTTGGTAACACAAGGCAAGGGAGTCTAAATGTGATTTTTAGAATGTGGTGTGATATTTCTTCTAGAACAAGAACAATGATTTCATACCTTGATTATCTTTGTGTAAAAAAATTATTTCTAATTTTATACTAAGACATGGGAAAGTGTAAAACCTCATTTTCTTTACTTACCTACTGGAAAATATACCTGTCAATCTACTAGAATTTTTTTACCCATTTCACACAAACATGCATTTACATGCATAAATATTGACTATCATTATATATTCTTTATCTTGCTATATGAGTAAGTTAATGTACAAAGCATTTTTACAGCATTCTAGACATATTCTCTGCTGTATTACTTGTAAAGGAACATCATCAGTTTCTCATTCTTTACATACCTACATTCTGAAATGTAGTAAGTTAATGTTGAGCATGTTTTACATTCTTAGATCCTGACAAACAAAGTTACCTTTATATTTATGTGCTGTTAATAGAACCTCGAGGCTCACAGTATAGGTCACATTTGCTGAAAAAAATTACAATGATAGAATTGGGTTGATATCCATTTTCTCAGAATAAGCTTTTCACACGGCTTTTAGAGGGTTGTATTTCCTTATTCTGAGATGTTCCTACTACAGGAATATCTTGCTTGTCAGGAAATAAGCAAGAAAGGACTCAGCATATATATTGCATATGTCAGTCAGGGGTTCCAGTGGCACAAATTCTTTTGTCACTTTGGATAAATCCATCATCTTATTTCCAGACTTACAAACTAGATTAGAAGCAGTAAATCAGAATAGAGAAATGGTGTCCCTTTACACACAATTAATTATATTTCAAAAAAAATACTGATATTGCTTGACACTTTGCCACCAAAGAGAATACCTGTAAACAGCCACTGGCTAGCAAGGAAATAAGTAGGAAAAGTTTTCTCTAGAAAGCAGAGCATACACTGGGCAACACAATGTTTTCATATAGACAACAATATTTTCCAGAGTTATAGCCTGTTTGTTATTTTAAAAAGAAGACACTATCTTTATTTCAGCAAGTATCTTTAATATGATTACTATGTGCCAGGTGGAAGAATACAAATATCCCAGAGAAACAAAGTCTAGGAAAAATTAAAATCCATGGGCTTCACGATCTGAGCAATTCATCAATCAGACCTTGTTTGAACATTATATATGAATGGACAGGAAAGATTACAGTTTGTTCTGAAAACATTCATCACATATGATTAAAATTGTATGCTTTTGACATCTGTAAAATTACTCTGGAATCTACTAGAAAAATAGAGGCAGCTGAAGTTTAGAATTATAATTGTCATATCTAGAAAATAAAACAAAAAGTTAATAAATGTATTAAAAAATGAAACAAGTAAAAGCTAATAAATGTATTATGAAAACACGAAACATGAAGAATAGATAAAATATTTATTATTGAGCCCTGCTACCACCTACAATTTGAAACAAACAGAGTAATAGTCTTCTCTTTGTAAATTGCCCCATTTTCTGTGACTACAAGCCTGGCCTTTAACCTGGGAAGACATGAGATGGTTACCAAATGGAAGAAAGACAAGGAAATTTTGTCCTGAAATCTTTCCAACGCAAATGCTTCATAAATAGCTGTGTCAAATCATTTGGGTGAAATTTTAGATCTTTAACTATCTTCACTTCAAATGCAAGCATCCCTGGTATATGATAATGCTACAGCCTTCTGTTATTGAAATGAGCATCAGAAAGCTTATTTTTTGGACTAAGCAAAATTGTGGGCAGGAAACGATGCTCATGAAGTGGACATTAAGAGAAATGAAAACTGATTATTAACTTTGTGTTTGCTCCTGGCCTAACCTGTGCCATAATTCTCATGAAAATTTTCTTTTTAAACACATTTTCTCGTTTTAAAAGGTCCCACGTCCTTCACACCGATTGGCCTTGCCAGCAACAGACTTGCAAATAATACAACTTATGCCAAAGCTACCTCAACCAGCTTAGTCAAGGCTAAAAATAGCAAGCCAGCCCTGCCTGTCATGAGCCTCTTTCCCCTTTGCGTCTTCCCAAAGAACTTTCTTCATTCCTAACCCTGAAAGGGAGCTTCTGGCTTGCTGGGACATTTGGTAAAGATGGCCATTCTCCCAGCTACAGAAAAGCTACAGTGTTAAACCTTAATAATCTTTTGTCTAATTGCGGCTACGTTCATTTAGCACACTTATTCCATGACAAATATGCAGAAGGTAAGCACGTGGAAAGATGGGAAATATCAATTTACTTGCTGGAAGAAAACTTAATTTTCATAAGACTGTCAGAAATTTTATTACTATGAATTATGACAACATTTGAAGATTGCTAATAGGGTAAAGTCTTTCTTTCCCCCAGCTTCAAATATGTTTTCTGCTTGTGTGCTCAGGCTGTGCAGTTGCCTGAGCCTTCCCCACCATTCCCCATTGTTGACAAGCTAACTAAAGTTAGAAACAGCTGCACGAACAATGATACCCCAGCCTAGCAGCCACGCACCCTGTACCTTTAAAAATATGACCCCAAGTTATGTGGGGATTAGACGAGAAGTTTAGTTTTCATATAGCAATGTGCAGGTAAGAAAAATTAGACACGGTTAGATTTTATTTTTGTGGCTGGAGGTAGTTAATGCCTACCGCCTTCCACTTGTATCTACAAACACAGAGGTAGAGTTGGGAAAGGCACAGAGATTTAGATTTTGAATGGATTTCCAGTGGGACCCAAAGAGAAAAGTGCCAGCAACTTTGTTGAGGGAGATCATGTGTCCAAAAGACAGCGATCCCATTTCACATACCCATGGCGTCAGGAACATTCTCTGGCCTCGTAAATCATCTGCAGCAGCAATGCACACATACTGAAGCAAATCAAAATAAAATCACACTCATCAGTTATCAGTCTTAAATTTCTTAATGCAAAGTAGACTTTAAATCTCATGATTTGGAATCGAAGTGTTAAGGCTCTTTACTCGCTTCTCATGTAATTTTCCCGTAGATGTTAATCTTTTCCACTTAAACAAGCAAATAGAACCAGAGGGCTATTAGGTGGGTGTCAGAGCCCCTCTTCCTTCCTTTAGACTGACGTTTATAATATGTAGTAGTTTTTTCCTTATGTCATTTTATTTTATTTTTAATTGTGCTAAAGTAAACATAACATAAAATTTATCATCTTAACCATTTTACATGTGTAAACCAAAGACATTTAGTACATTCATATAGTGTGCAATCTCACCATTATCCATCTGCAGAACTCTGTCATCCCAGACCAAAGCCCTATTATTTCAGTGATAAGCCCTGTTATTTCAGTGAGTGAGGATAGGTTGTATTAAACAAATTTTCTGCTTTGCTCAGGTGTGGTACTCATTATATTTATTGTTACAGATTAAAACTGTGTGTGGGGGGATTTCTGCTTAAATTTTATGTAATTCAGGATGTAATTCTTTCATAACTCATTCTCATGAAATTGAATTAATTTAGCCTAAATTTTCTGCTAAAATCAGACACATGCACATGAAAACATTGAAGGCATAGAATAAACCTGTATAGTTATTTCATAAGTATAGTAATTAAGTATATTACCTTTAAATAGTGTCCTGAGTTCTAAGATAGAAAACATTAATGTGTAGCTATTTCTATTCTTTTTACATGTTATTGATTTATTGATTAAATTGGTTTATGTGGTCTCTGTTCTTGGTTTAGTGTGTAGCAAAAACTAAAGCTCAAAAATTTCATTTACTATATAAAATATACAAAACTGATTTGTGTAAATATGTCAGATGCAAAAAATACATGAGTATAATAATTTCTGTTGTAGAACTTTATAGATGATTATCTCCAAGGAGTGTTAAAGATATGGTCAAGGCTTTATTTTTATAATAATTATGAAATATCAGTAGATAATATAATGAAATTTTGCAATAAGAAATTTGAGAAAGCATGCTTTTTCCTGACTAGATCCACTTTTTCTGCATCATGAATATCAAATCTAGTATAAACGTGGGTTTCATTCCTTTTCATCGCTTGTTTGCTACATTGAAAAATGTAATGTTTTTCTGATTCTTCTTACCATAGCTGAAATTTATTAACCATGACATCGCTTACTCTTGTTAAATGCCTCCCTGGAATCTGAGGCTCATGTCTTCTTTGTGCTTTTGTGTTTGATTCATACGGAGAATTGCCTGTCAAAATGCTTCAACACAGGAACAGGACAGAAAGTGGTATATTCAGTGGAACTCAGCTTGAAATTGTAGTACACAAATAAGGTCAAACTGTTCATAGGGCAATCATAACATAACTGAAGTATAAACACGTACTGTATTAATACACAAATCAGCATTGCCCTCACTGGCAACTACTCTCACTACTTTTAAGTACTCTGAAGTTAATGACCTGTGCCTAAGAAATAAAATTCATATTAAATTTGTTTATAAAAAGTAATTTTAACAGAGTATATAGACTTCTTTTTCCACTGTGTCATATTGGGTCTTCTCTTCCATCTCATTAATGTTCTAGGTGGTCAGTGCGTCAACACTTCATTGACCTCTTCCCCATGGACAGCTCTTTGGGGTCTCAATAAATCTGCATGTGATGGCTATAGGAGAGCATTAGAAGGTGGAAGGATTCAGGACAGATTATTATTAGCACATAAAGACTTAAATAAATGGGGCAAATGACTCTAAATTTTAGAAAAATTAAAGTTGTGAAAATTTGTATACAATGTGTTAGAATCTTGCTTGCTTAGGGTCAAAGGGATGTTTTTATAACGGTAATTCTAATTTAAATCAAAAAGTATCAAAAGCTATTTGCAATTACTTATACTGGAGGTATACTTAAATTCATAGTCTGTGTACCTTTTGTTTTTTGTTTAAAATCCTCTGAATACATTTTGAGCGTTATGAATATTTTGAAATGACATAGTATAATGAACATTAATTTTATAATTTTAAGAAAATTATATTTATTTGCATGTTGAACCGCAGCTCAAAGAGTCATTCAAAGATATCAAAAAGAAATTCAACAATTTGAAGTTTAATTATACTAAGAAAAATGAAAAAGCTCGAAATCTGAAGGCTCTTAAATATCACATCCAGCAAGTTGATATGTATGCTGAAAAAATGCAGGTAAGGAGAAAGTGTTGTATGTGTACATGTGCAGGTATATGTATATGTATATGTATATGTATATGTACTTATACTACTACAATTATTGCAAAATCCATTTACACTTAATTCTAGATTCTTTTTTATAGCATTAGAATTAGAAGGGTATCCAGTTTTGTAACAATTGGGTTCCTTGTGAAAAATAATAAATTTATTTCTCCTTTCTCTTTTAGAAATAATAACTTTTCCCCCTACAGTCTAAAAAGTTTTTGGTTATTTGCTTGTCATTCACCAAAATGATGCAAATTTTAAATAGACTAACCCGTAGTAACAATTTTACATAGTAATCTCTAATAGCATTTCATCTGGAATACAATGTCTTTTTATAAATGTATAATTGCTAGTGCTTATTAATTTTATAAAAGATTGGATTTCAATGTGGTATCTTTATGCATGCATATAACATAATTTTTTAAGACAGGATGTCGTTGTGTAGCTCAGGCTGGCCTTGAACTCAGTGTGTAGCCCAGGCTGACCCCAAACTCATGGCAATCCTCTGCCTTAGACTCATGAGTGTTGGGTTTACAGGCGTGCATCACCAGTAGAGCTTCTTTCTTCTATCTAGCTATAATTTAAGTTTCCGCTGGTCAACTTGGAGATTAATTTCTCTCTTGAAGTAGCCCCAGAATGGTTTCTACCAAAACTACCCAGCCTGCGTGCCTCTGTTCTTCCAACACATATGCACAGGTGTGACAGACATGCACATTCTTACCCTTCTTTGCCTTTCCTTTCACATGCCTGTGTCAAAAGCTCTCTTCACAGCTGCCTCTCATGCACTTTTGATGATCACATATATGGTTTTGATTATTTGAATGCCCTTTGTGGTATACAGTGAGCCTAGAACTAAGCACTCGAGTTTGCTTTTGTGATCATCTTTTATTTTTCTAAAAATCATGCTATTCTTGATATCTGTAGTAGTGAGTTTTCTGTATGCTTGCCAGTAATAAATAAAATGTCTGAAAGATTCTCTTCATTCTATTATGGTTTTATAAAACATCACAATAATGGAAGCTATGACACTTTTTCAAAGATGTTCTCTAACTACCATTAGCATCATGAATGAAAATTGATTGTTATTTTAAAAACTTTTTACATAGGCTTTGAGAAGAAAAATGGAAAAACTTAGTAGTAAAACTTCTGATTCTTTCTTAAATTATCCAAGTAATAAAGTTAATGTCATTTTGGAAGCCATGAAAGATTTGCAAAAACATGTGAATGACTTTGACAAAGTTGTCACAGACTACAAGACAAATTTGGACCTGACCGAACATCTCCAGGAATTAATAGAAGAGGTATTCTCTTTATGCTGTAGAGATATTCTTCTTATAATCTTGTTTTAAAAATTATTTTGCTACTTTGAGACAATACTGTATTAGCTATTATTGTCATGAAGTTGCAGAGTCATACTCTTTGTCATGATTATTTCCTTAGGATAATTTCCTAAAGTAGAATTGTTGGACTAAAGGGAATGAATGTTAAAAGGTTTTTGAAAAATTGCATTGTCCGTTTGCTCTTCAGAAAGCTTTTACTAATTTACTCTTGCCTGCAACACACAAAAGTTCCCATTCTTTATAACTTCATCAATTCAAGACGTTTAAAAATCATGATATTCACTGTTGAATATGTGTTAAAATACTCAGGATGACTTATTTCATAAAATTTAAATATTTAGAAAAAAGTGACCCTGAGAATTTTTGAGAGTGTAAAAATTTGGTGCTGGTGTATTTTCATTGTTGTCAAGAGGATAAATAGTGGTCTACCTATAATCCATGAAGTCTGACCATTCGAAGTTATTATTTCACACTTTGTGTGGAGGAAATTCTACACTTGAGGGTCTTGAGTGGCTTCTTTTTTTTTTTGGCCATTATTCTGAGATATAAAGTATCTTTCTTTACCACTAATACAGCTGAGTCCTAGATTTAACACCACATTAAGGAGAATCAAGATGATTATTCTTCGGTGTCTGATGTATAGATTTGCTGCAGCTCTCTGGCACTTATTTAAAACCAGTTCCTAGCAGTGTCGTGTGTCGCTATTTCTCACCAGCATAAAGTGCTTCTAGCCTGGATCACACGTTCCTTTCATCACAATCATTTATTTTTAGTGAGAAACTGTTTCAATTCTCCACTGTACTTTAAAAATATGACTGTCTTCTATTTTAAAAAGGTAAAAATGCTATTCTTTGGATGATATTTCTTCTATCCATAATCTAAATCTCATTCTTAAAAGAGAATTTATTTATCAGAATATCTGTCAGGCAGTATTTTACCCTGAATTGCTCATGGTATCAGTTTATCATGCTGGATTTTGAAATGTTTTAGCTTTCCACTTGACTTATGTTGAATTCTTTTTAGCACCAAATCTTTTTAATGCTGCACGTTTTTGAAAGTCCTAAACATTCCTCTTAGGAATTATTTTTTGGCAAAACCTAAGAAGGCAGCAGAATCAAAGGTATTTTCATATTTTTTTATTTTCTACTTTTATTCATACATATTTCCATACTTATTTCTGTCTTTAGGATCTAAAATTACATGCCGATGTTTTGATATTTTCTTTAACATGACTTAAAAAGTTCCAGCCAATTAAACATAAAGCTTGAGAAATGAAAGAATTAAAAACGTCATGCTTCACTGGCTAAAATTAAGCACTTGAGAAAGATGATAGCTCTCTGACATGTGCTGTATCCCATCTTAATTTAGTGTTACTTTTGGTATGAAGATGCAAGTGCTACCATTGTACGAGTTGGAAAATATTCCATGGAGTGCAAAACCACAGAAGCTGTGGAAATTCTCCACCAGCAGTTCAATAAGTTTATTGCACCGTCAGTGCCTCAGCAAGAAGAAAGGATTCAGGAGGTCACGGACCTGGCTCGGCGCTTATATGGTGAGATCCCTCTTAAGATATCCAGTGACTTGTATTGGACACATCTGTACTGAACCTAATCCACCAGAAAGCACAGTGCACAAACCTTTGAGGTCCTCACTACAGAGAAAAGGTTTGAGATAAGAGGCCACATCCTGCAAGAGTAAACAAGAGGAATTTCTGACAGCAAGCGATGAGGCCCCCTGGTTTTTCACTACCTGTTTAAACCCTATTTCTCATGTTCATCTCTAGGGCAATGAAATTAGAACATTGATCAGCTTCTACCGATTAAAAAAAGTCTAAATTTCCACTAGAGTTATCCTTTAGCATACAAGCTTTAATTATACATTAGGCACAAAGTTAAGACTGAAGTCCATGGACCTCTTATATCTATGAGGGTTTGGGCTCATGGATTTGAGACACAGCTGGAAAATTCTGCTGCATCTTCCTCTAACTCGTGCATAAATGGGAGAACTCCAATTGTCATCTCACAGTGTCTCCTGTTTCTCCATGATTAGGAAAGATAATATAATAATCAGCCTGAGGCATTCTTCTTCCTTACAAGGGTCTTTGCTTAAGAAGTCCCCAGATGATGCCAACCCTTATGGGTTCAAAGATATAGGTTCTGTGAATTCTTTGATGTCATGCCTATGAGACTGAGAGTAATTTCCAATGACCAGGCAAATGCAGCCTAAAAAGAGTACAGTGACAGGTGAACAAAGTGCTTTGTTTGGTGTCCACAGCTGCTGCCAGAGAGATATTTTGACTTACATGAAGCACCACCCATGGAGAGCCATAAAACTGTTGCAGTACAATATGTACTGCAACACCATTAAATGATTGAGAATAAATTATGATTTTCAAAAGAAAAGGGTAGAAATACTAAAATGTAAATTGGAAAAATATTGAAAAATAATGAGTTGGCTCCTTCTCGCTGTAGTTACTGTGTAAATGCACTGAAAACTGGTGGAAGTACTCTATAACCATAGCATTGTGAATATTTACTTCCATTCCTGTGCCTCTTACACTATGGAGTAAACATTTGTCTGTCTTCATTACTGATTATAATCTCTTTCTGGGAAAAATGAGTACAGTTGATACCTAATTACAGTGCCTTTTAGTTTCAGGACATGGTAAGTGGTCACAAAGTTCTCATAACTATTACCTTCTCCCCTCATCATATATCCTGCCTTGTCTATATCCGTGGTTGTCTCACTAGCTGCCATGTTTTTATACAATGGTCTGTTATGTGCCTTTCTTTTCCTGAGTGGAATGTCCATGGGGGAACACATGCTGCCTTTATTTCCATCTAACACGGCACATACTAAGTGTTTAACAAATGTAAACAAATGAATCATTGATAATATGATTAAATACAAAATGATACTAATCTGAGCATTATACACTTTTTCTATCAAGTAAGCTAGTGTAGGACGTCTCTTAAGCATTACTGAGCCCAGAACTTCAATGCAAATAAATTTATCTCAAAAAAGAATTGTATGTACTTACTTTACATAAGGAGCTATGGTTGAGATAAAGCCAAATAAGATCTAGTTCTAGCATTTAGAAAACAATAGTCAAGGACTGAAAGTCATGCTACAGTACATGTAATGAAAAGTTATGAAATGTATGTATTAGTTTGCTAAAGCTTCCATTAAAAATATTGTAAACTGTAAGATTTAAGCAACAGAAATTGTTTTTTCACTCGTGTAGTAGCTAGGAGTCTAAGATCAAGATACTGGAAAACTTGGCTATCCAAGGCTTCTCTCCTTGATCACTTTCTTGCTGTCTTCTCATGGCTTTCCATCAGTGTCCAAGCAATCCTGCATGTGTATCCTGGTTCTTAGAAGAGTCCAATCATATTGGATCAGAGTCCTGCTGTAATGACCTCATTTGAACTTAATCACTTATTTAATGACCTTATTTCCAAAGTTATATTCTGAGGTCTCAGGGATTGGGATTTCAACTAAGGTATTTAGGGCAATTCACCCTATACCAATGGGATATGTTTGATTGCATAGGCTGTGGAATTAGGTAGTCTTGGGTTCAAACTTCTGTTCCTCCAATTAATGCATAACAATTGCTTAGGCATAGGCAAGTACTAAGCACTCAGTACATAGCAGCCATTTTCCTTATTTATGTATTAATATATTTGGTACTGAGAATCAAACTCAGGACCTTGCACTTGCCAGGCAGGTACTGTGCCACTGAGCTACATCCCCAGCCCTGTTTTTCTTATCCAGCGGGGATATATAGAATAGTTAAAAGATTAAGAATATTTCTACGGACATGTTGACATTTGAGGCAGATCTTTACAAGGAGGTATGGTTTGACAGCAAGAATAGGAATTGGGGGAGGATATTTCCAGTGTAAGAAAGAAAACTTGGCTGTGGAAAGTTATACATTTTCAAATTATTTTTGTTCTTCAATTGGCACATAAAACTGTGCATATTTACAGAGCATCATGTGACGTTTCAATACTTGTGAAATTTTATGATGTTTAAATTAAGCTAAGCATAGCTACTCAAATATTTATCATTTCTGTGGTAAAATATTTAATATCCTTTCTTTTAGTTTTCTTAAAGCATCAGTATATTACTCACTGTAGTCACTACACTATGCCATAGAATGCCTGAGCTTATTCCTCCTACCTAGCTATGACTTGGTACATTTTATCTAGTGTTTTTATCCATCCTTCCTAGACTCATACTCTCCTCAGCATCTGCTAGCTACCATTTTACTCTCTATGTTTTTAAAGGAGAAAAGGTTTATTTGATTTCATGGTTTGTAGAGGTTTTAGTCTAAAACCAGCCGGCTCCAAGGCAGGGTGGTATTGCAGGGGGCATCACAGAGGAGAAACAGTCCATGGCAGGGCGGGCAGGAAGCAGCTTCTCCTCTCTATTTTGATGAGGTCAATAGTTTTAGGTTTTACATATGAGTTCAGTAAATAATGTGATATTTTTCTTTCTATGCATGGCTTATTTCAGTTACCATAATGTCTTCCAGTTCCAAATAACAGAATTTCATCCTTTTTATGACTGAATAGTACTACGTTGTACATATGTATTACGTCTTTGTCCATCCATCAATTGATAAACATTTTGGTTGTTTTCATCTCTATTGTAAATAAGCCTGCAAAATATATGAGAGTGCAGATGTCTTTTTAGCATACTGATGTCGTATCTTTTAGATATATATGTGGAACAGTAAAATTGCTGGATTATATGGTAATCATTATTTTAGCTTTTTTGAAAAGTCTCTGTTCTGCTTTCCATATTGGCTCTACTAATTAACATTCTTACCACAGTGGGTAAGGTTTTCTTTTCTTCACATCTTTAAAGCAACTGTTGTCTTTTATCTTTTTTTGACAATAACCATCCTAACTGAAGTGAAGTAAACTCTCACTGTGGCTTTAATTTGCATTTCCTTGAGGATTAGTGATGTGGAGCCTTTTTGCATATACCTGTTGTTATTCATATGTCTTCTTTTGAGAAATATCGATTCAGGTCTATTGCCCATTTTAAAAATTGCATCATTCGGTGGTTTTTGTTATTGAGTTCCTCATATGTTCTAAACATTAGCCCTGATCAGATGTTGCAAATATTTCTACCATTCCATAGATTGTCTTGCATCCTGTTGATTTTTTCCTTTGTTTCTCAGAGACTTTTTAGTTTAAAATAATCCTATTTGTCTATGTTTGCTTTTGTTCCTTGTGCCTTTGATGTCTTATCCAAAAAAGTTCTTGCCCATTCCAATATCCTGAAGAATTTCTCTTATGTTTTATTTCATTACTTTTATAGTTCCATTCCTTATATTTAAGTCTCTAATCCATTTTAAATTGATTTTTTAACTGGCAAGAGTTAGGGGTCAAGTTGACTTTTATAACAAGCAAGTGAAAGGGGATTTCATTCTTCTGCTTATAGATATCTAGGCTGTTGGAACTTTGAGGGAAGAATTGCTGGCTCAGTTTGGCTGGGAAGTAGATCTGGCAGAAGATGAGGGTAACATATATTTGTAAGAAGCAGGCTGGAGGACCTTCAGCACCATCACGGGGAATTTGCATTTCTCTAAATTGTAAAGAATCACTAAATGCTTTGAACTGAGAAACTGACCAGAATTGAGCTTTAAGAACAGTATAGCAACATTATTTACATAAAAACTACATGGTACAGCAAATATAATAATTTTCTAGACTATTTGGATTTTCAAAGATGCCTTTATGAATTTATTTACTTGAAAAGCAAGTATTTATTAAGAGATTCCTATCTGCCAGCACTTAGACATTGGGAAATGACCGAGGTTTTTTCCACTAAAGATTTGGCTTTTTAAAATAGTTTTATCATTTCTCAGGTATGGAAGAAGGAAAGAAATACACTGAGAAAATAGTGGCAAAGCACAAGGAGATTCTTGAGTCTATTACTGAATTATGTGGGTCTCTCACAGAACTGGAAGAAAAACTGAAGGTAATTTCAGAGTATGTATTTTCAAGTGATGCAAATAAAAATGTGTTGATCAAATGTTTTCTGGTGCAAAGATATTCTAATAGATATTCTTAGCAGATGTGATGTACACATTTGTTTCACACTATTCTAACATCATTATCTGCATGTTTCTGATAATTAATACTGTTTCTTTCCATAACTGCAGAGAAAGGGAACTAAATACAATTAAGGTGCCTCATTTACATTTTCATAGATAATATCCTAAAGGATAAATGTGTACCATTAAAACCAAACAAAAGTCTTGTGTTCATAAATAATAGATGTAGGGGCTGGTTTTTATTCCTCCAAAGTGTGGCCCCAGAGAAAGTGAAACTAAAACTCAGGCACTCTATTCATTGAACATTTAACTTATGGAAACATTTAAACTAATCATTATCACTTTTCATGAAATTAAACATTGATGATAAAAATTATACCGAAAATGCTAGCTGATGTATAGGCAAAAATCAATCACAGGAAAAAGTATATGTTTTATCTGTGTCATGTCAGAAACCAGTTTGATTGGTGCTGTTTTTGCAATTGACTGAAATAATTGATTATTTAGGATGGAGAGGTAAGATAATTAAGTATAAACTCTAAACAAAACAAAACAATCCCCCCAAAAAACTCAGCTGCCTTAGAATACTACCTCCTTAAATTACTGGCTTTCTGAGCCACAAATTCTATAAATTATTTTATATCAGTTTCCTGGCCTACTAAATAGATCACAGAGTGGCTCAAAGAACTGAATAAAAATGCTCGAGATTACTGCTGTGATCATTATTGCTATTGATGCCTTGGAATGATCTTGCAATGCATAGTAGAATATATTTATTTTGTAGCAACTATTCTTTTCTATATGGATTTTTTATCCATATAGAATTTTTATCCATATAGAAATTCCATCAATTTGAGTATCTATTCCACTCAAATAATTTGTGAGACTTTTAATTCAGTAAGTATTCAAATTGTTTTTTCCATTAGTTAAGAATTGAGATTATTTCAATTCTCTTACCATTTTAAATAACACTGCAATGAGTATCTGTGCATAGCATTTTATTTCTTACCTACACATACATTCTCTGAAATAATTCAGGAAGATTAGTATGGAATTGTTAATGTTTCTGACGTATGTGTCAAATTACTTTTTGTAAAAGATGTTTTACAGTTACATTGCTATCAGCAACGCATGAGCAAAGCATACATCTTACATTTTTAAACAGCTATATTTCCTCCTCACCTCTACCTGATCTAGTGAGGATGTGTTTCTTCTTCTGCCACCCCATAAATTGGCTGAAAATCATTGTTTCCCCACGGTCTGCTTTCCACAGTCAACAGCATCTTTCACATTCATGTTGTACGTCCTCAACACAATGAAAGCCACTCTGCAACTTATATTCTTTTGAGATTTTGACCTTCATGGTTAGTCCTGAAAGAGCTATTTCCAGTCTGTCCCCATTCCCCACTCCTGTGACACTCCTAACAGTCAGAATCATACCCAGGATTCCCAGCCTATCACTTGGATTCTCTTTTGCACTCATCAGAAGTGCCCTAAATATACACCCAGTTAGAGTGTCCTTCCTAAATACAGTCCTGCTCATGTAATTTCATGTTCAAAACACTTCACTACAAGATCTGCATTGCTTACTATGTAAAGTTCAGACTCAGACCTCTCAGTGTTCTAAGATGATCACTGTGCCAAATGCTGCGCTTCTGTATTCATGGGTTTCTCTCTCATTGGTCTACTGGTTCCATTACCTGATATTTCCCGCTTCTATACCTTATATCAAACTTATCACCTGCCGTCTCTGTTTATCAATATCTTACCATGTCTGAAAGTCAGACCTAGCTACCATCTTCACAAATCCTTCCTAAGATTCCCTCTTTCATTTTTCACTGTGCTTGTGTTCTCTCCTACTACCCTGGCCCAACCCATCTGCTATACCCAATACCATAGACCTGTTGCTTTGTAAACAACAGACGTTTATTTCTCACAAATCTAATTGAGAGTCTAAAACCAAGACACCAGCTGATTTGGTGTGAAGTGCTTACTTCCTCATAGACAATTGTCTTCTTACTCTATCTTCCCATGGGGGAAGGAAAGGGGTCTCTTTGAGGCCTTTTACAAGGGCACTAATCTCTGATGAGGGCTCCACCCTTATAACCTAATCACTTCCCATAGGTTCCACTCACATCACCTTGGGATGATGATTTCAATATAAATTTTAAAGGGATATAAACATCCAGACCACAGGCATCAGATATACCTCGACTAGCAACCCTACCACCTTACTTAATTATATCTAAGAAGTTCTCTTGCTGTGCTCGATTTAGTGTCCCATCGTATATTTAACATGGTGGTTTCCTTTTTAATTCTGCTTCTTCAGAAAGAGCTTGACACTTGTAGCAAATAGCCTAAAGATTATCACAAAGAAGAATCATTTGGAGCTGAACAAACAAACAAAACAAAAGAAAACAAACAAAAGTTTGGTTTGGATGAATGGATACAGAAATGAGGAAGGATCTCTCTGGCAGGAGAAGGAGGCATCAGTATCACTCTTATGAGTTATAGACTCAGCAAAAGCTTGTCCATGAATGTGGATACTTTCCAGATGTTTGTATGAAAATCATAAACATCCAGTTGTTTTTTTCAGCTTGGTGATATGGATCTCTTTAACAGGGGTTATTAAAGTGGACCCAGAAAGGCCTGCCATGGCTAAAATAAACATAATTTTTGTTTGTATAGTAATTGGATCTTTGCAAAAGACTACATATATATTATATCCAGTGATTTCCAAATAACCTAGAGAGGGAAATAAGACAAATGTTGTTTTCCTTGTTTTAGATGGTGAAGGGATGGACCCAAATAGGATAAAAGTGCTTTCCTTGGGGCCCCCTAAGGAGCGGGTAGATCTGGAATTTGAATTTAGCTCCAATTCAAAATCTAGCACTCTTTCCACAACAGCTGCCTTTGTGGAAAAAGATATCAAGTGTATACTAAATCAGAGTGATTGATCCAGGAATACAAACCAATTTAGTTTTAGAGTTGAGATTAAAAGCTGAATCTCCCTAGCAGTATGTCCCTAGATCCTTGGATCCACTATAGTTCATGTCTTTTTGTGTGTGTGCCTGTTTGCTTAAAGCTTTCTGATCTTTCTCATGGACATGTTCCAGATATATGCACACTCCTGTTGGACACTAATCACCATAAACTGATGTGTTCTGTCACTTGGAGTACCTTCACAAAATCTTTTTAGCTCCACAGCACTTTAAAAAGCCCTCACAACTTCCCTGACTAGTGGTGAGCACTATGAAATACAGGAAAAAGATATTATCACACACATGAAACATACTGTATTCTCCACGGTATATTTCTATCCTTTTTTCAAGAGTCTCCCAAGCAGATTTTCGTGTGGGTTCTCTGGATTGCCTACTCTTTTCTCCACCGGAGATGTTTAATCATCCTTCCCTCCTTGCTGTTCCTCAGACTCGCCCAGTGGTTTAAATTGCCGTGCACAGTGGTCGCTATCTCTAAAAGAGTGCTCAAGCAAGAGCATCCTGTTGTAACAATTACTTCTTTTCCTGCTGGGCCTTTGAACAATCCATTTTTACTGGCAACGAACTCTATCAAAGGAGGAAGGCAGGAGGGGAACTGTGAGCTTAGAGAGATAATTTGATAAATCGCATGCATCTCCTACAGAATACATTTGCTGAAAGTTTGCAAGTGACTCATGTTTCTCTTCCAAGCAGTTAATGTGTGGCATTATTCTTCCAATTGTCCTGACCTGATCTCTCCTTAACTGTTGCTTTGTACAGCAGGGAGATGCTCTAAAGATGAATCCAAGTCTGGAAGACTTTCACAGCAACTGTATTGACCTAATAACGGAACCATTAAGAAATAAGCAGAAAGTATTCAATGAAGAAATCAATAAGGTAAATAAAATTACTTAACTTCAGCTTGGCATTTTTTTCTTGTTTTTAATTATTGTGCACTGAAAAAAGGTAAGTTGAAGCCTTCTTCTCTATCCAAATCAAATCTCCCAATGTAAATGCAATGTGAGTTTCCTAATCCCTGACATTTTATTTGTCCTTGCTTAGTTCTTTTCTTACTTTTTTTTCCCTTGGAGTGAGTCCTTCCTATTGAATACTGGAGCAGTAGCATTTCAGAATGCATGGGGACATCTGTACAAACACCATAATGTTGTCCCAGGCCATTTCTATTTCTCCCATTTCCAGCTGTCTTTTCCATTGTCCTTTTGTGTCTGATCTAGCTTCAATTTTTCCTTTTTTTTCTCTTATCATACTGCCAAGTGTTAGTTTTATACTATCTTTTGGAAAATCCCAGTGTATGAAATTAGATTCTACATTGCTCCCATAGAATCCCATTAGGTAATATTTCCAGGCAAAGTATAGAATCTAGCTGGAATTCAAATATTAAAGAATTTGGAGAAATGTTAATGTTGCTCGAAAGCCTAAGCATTTACAAATAAATTTAAACATTCAGCAAAACTATAAATATTCACAAAATGAAAAATGCATCATGGTTTCAAAGTATTGTTTGGACTGCAATATCTTTATGAATTTCAGAGACTTTGCTCACTATTGATAGCTACTAAACTATAATTGGTGCTCGACTTTTTGCTTTTGCCAAAGATATACTTCCTGTAATATCTTCTTCCTATAATATTATATATATATATATATATATATATATATATATGCATGCACACATGAAACCCCACAAAACAAGTATGCAAACGTCCCCCTATTTGTTGCAGTTGATTCATGGAAAAATATTTATCTTTTCTTGAAGTCAGTGCAGTTCTCATAGCTTTTTTATAGGTCCTTCTCCACACATTAAATCCATATCAAGATCCAGAGCACTTATACAGTCCTGGCAACAAATACCATTAAGCAAGCTGTCTTTTTGTACATGCCATCTTGAGCTTCTTACACTTTGGTTCCTCTCTAAGTCAAAGGAAAGCTGTCTATCCTTGGTCATCTTGTTGGGTCTTAGTATCTTTGGTGGCTATGGTGTAATTTAGGATTTCTCAACCTTGCATTATTGATATTTTGTTCAGATACTTTTCTGCTAGGGGGACTGTCCCATGCATTATAGAATATTTATTAGCATTCCTGGTTGCTACTTACCAGGTACTAACAGCACCACCAGTCTCCCCATTTGTGACAATAATAACCATGTCTGTAAACATGACTAAATGTCCTCTAAAATCACCAGAACTGAGAACAAAAATAACTGATTGAAATAATAAAGAGCAGTATTAAACACACACATTTTCTTAACTAAATTTCTTAGAGTTCTAAATTCAGCATCATATTATTAGTTCTATTTAATTCTGAGTTTTCCTACACTATGAAATGAGTTTATTTCATAAAATCTTAGAAGTTATTGCTACTAAAAAACAGACACTGATTTATACTTAGGTAAAATGTTTTTCCTTTCTTTTACTTATTTTCTTATGAGAAAAATATACTGTACATCCCTTTAAATACTTATTATAAGGTTTATTTTCATTGAAAAATAACTTTATTTTAACATAAATTTTAAGACATGATAGAACATCAGCATTAACAGTGAAAGTGAAAGTCCACAATTATAGCTGTCAAGAATTTTCCCTCACATCATTTCATGTACACGGGCTGGTGCAGTTGGCCCAGACAGCATAATGAAAGGGTAGCAATAATCTCCACTTTTAAGCAGCTCAATCACATTTACCCTCTTATTGTCTCTATGATGTATATATAGGTCAGATGTAATGACTCTTGAAAATGCCATGCGGGCAGATAACAAGAAATATTAAGTAAAAATCTTGTCCATGAATTATTGCATCCAATTCTGATATCCTTAAATAGTGTGAATCTTCAACTGAAAATGATTTGAGTCAGAAGGAACAATTTTACCAAGCTATTACAAGAATATATTTTTCACAGGAATTTTCTCCTGGAAATAGCAAAGTGCTTCTCATTTTTCTGACCCCAAAATGCAGCAGGTGTTATTAGACAATTCAGTTAGTGCAAGGCACATAGCACTGAGAACAGATTAGTGATGGTATTTTCTCCCCAAGGTTGGTGCCAAACCTAAATCCACAGAGTAATATCTGAAAACTCCTAAGGTCAAATGGAGGCACAGAATATTAAGAGACTTGCCTAAAGTCATAGAACTATTTGGCAGAAGATGAGGGTTTTTGATGCCAGCATTTAGAGTTATAGAATTTTAGTGCTAGAAGCAATTTAACAATCATCTGATCAAATCTCATTTTACAGTTGAGGAAACCGAGGCCAAAAGAGATTAAATATCTTGCCCTCCAAAAACCTCAGGAAATAGTTTCAGAACTGGGATCTCTGCCCAGGTCTGCATTTCAGCCAGGTACCTTTTCCACAAGACCAAAGGGATCTCCAAGGAACTGCTGCATATAAATAAGCTGTTTTATAATGATATTGTAACTGTTCATGCCAAAACTTTCCCCTCTCTTGTCCATCTGTTTGCATATGAGTTAATAAAGCAATACCATGAAGTCTTTTGCACCAAACGATTCAGTACAATGCTGCTATCATATTAACAAGGACAGTCCCTGGCCCTCGAGTACTAATTCTGGTCCTAACAGGTGGAGTAAATTGTTCTAGAGACACTTGCCTTGGAAAAAAATTAGGAAGGACCAATGTGTTCTTTGCCACATTTATTTTCCCTTCTCTCTTTCCTTGCAATCTCCCTGCTCGTGGGTCCCAAAAGTCCCTCTTGGCTTCCATATCCCACTCTGAGAGTCTTTTCCAGATACACCTTACACAGGACAAAGCAGTATGCCCAATATGTTTGTTTACTTCCACTCATCTTTATTAGACATTATTTATCCTAAAGTTTGACTATTGTGGAGATTTTTTGGAAGATGAATTCTTGTGATGTTCCTTCAAATTTGCCACATAGGTGGCTCTCCATTGAATTTACTTTGAGAATTGATTATGCCTATTCAGTTGGATGGGTGGATAATATCATTATGCTTTGTCTTCCAAACTTTGTCTGCCTACATGGCAATTATTGTAAATCCAACTGATTGTCCCTCAGTGAAAATTAAAGTTCAGAAATCATGACAAATTCATAGATTTTGAATTTGGAAAATGATAGGGGAATTGACAAAAGAAAGAACAGTGAAGAGTATAAGAGAAACAAATTGAGAACTGGTGAATTAGACAGAATTAGATCAACAGTTTTGCCAGGACATATTAATTAGACTGACACAAATGTGTCCTCTGTGTATTGAACTATATAGATTTATTTATTCCTTTCTGGAAACACATGCATTTTTTTCTAGTAGTGAGGATAATTTCATTGTGGAAGATATAGTTGATATGTGTGAATATTTGGATACATTTTTCATAGATGAAAACTGTATGGCTCTAGGAATCTATAGCTCAGTGAATTTTTAAGTGTGTTTGCTATAAAATTCTATAATGAGTTAAAACTTTACCATTTATTTGCATTTGAAAAAAAAGGCTCAAGTGCTAAAGCCAAATGGATTTAGAAAAAAAGACTTACATTAAACTCACCCTACTTTGTTTGTTGAGATGATTATTTAATTTATTATGAGATCTGGAAATAATATGTAAACACCTATGTTCTCTCTTGATATAAATGGAGAAATGGGAACTGAGTTTGGGTTTGGTCAGTTATAATTGTACCCACAAGTGCTAAGTAGCTCATCAATTTTAAGCTAAAAGCCAGTTTGCCTTAGGGAAATTTCTAGCTTTGTTCTAAATTCTGTAGTGTCCAGAATTTGTATCAAGGTATTAATGGACAGGATAGATAGAATATTTCAGTTTACTAAGTGGTCTCATGTGGTTCTTGTAAAAAAAAATTTTTTTAAATGACTATACCATTTCAATAAAATGACTTCATATACATCAAGAAGATGATGATTCTACTGATGATTTCCTATCTGGAAAGTAAACAAAACCTAAAACCAAGCATTTAGAAGAGAATATTAATTAATACACTGAAAAATTTAAGAAAAATACTTGAGAAAATGCTCTCTCTTTTGTTTGTAGAAATTACCTAGTGCCATTCTTTTCTGTGAAAAAAATGTTTTTTTTTTCTATTTTAGAAATTCTAAGAAGTAAAAATTGATATCCTTGGATTCATTTATTACATTTGGAACCAACTATGAAAAGAAGATACAGAAGTAGTTCTAAAGTCATTATAAAAGCTGGATTGAATGATAGGCTTGGGCTTTTTCCAGGGGATTTCCCAAAATCACACACCTGGCGTAGACAGATTTGCCTACCTAGTCACTTGGTGCATAGGTAGATACCACAGGCATCCCCTACTGGGGGCTTGCACTCCTTGGAACCAACCTGAGTACATCCATTTTGTGGAAAGGGGAGCCCAAAAGGGAGGTCTTTAGATAGACAAAGCTAAGCACATTTAGTTCTTTCCTCCAAATTGTCAGTTAAGTAAACCAGTTCCAGCAGGATTGAGAAAGAGTAAGGAGACTGGTTTAGAGTTTTATTCAAGCTTCTCCCCTAAACTTATTGTACATTTTTAGGTAGTTTAAAGCATTATTCTCCTGGGAAGAGACATAGGTTACCTGAAAGTATCATTAAGGAGCAGTCTGTGATTGGTTGATTTTTAAGTCAGCAAATGTCTGGGCTCATACAAATTAGCCCTTCCTAAGGTGACCAAGATGACAGCTGTGAATGTTGAGTCTGAACTTTGAGGAGTGTAGTGCAAGGATAGAAGTTTTAAGATTATAGGACCCATTCTCTAAATAATCAAAAAGCTGTTAAAACACAAGGGCAGTTGAACTGCCTCTATTTAGCTGCAGGAGTATAAGTCAGACCACTGGTGGAAATTGCAAGAAGACACGTGTTTGCTAAGAATAATATGATCTCAGTACTAGTAAATCAAGAAATTCTCAAAGTAATCATTCTTTTCAGGAAGAGTTTAAATAGAAGCTTCCAGAATATTCTAGATGAGATTCTTGCATTGAATAGACAGTTGGTTAAGGTCCCTCTGAAAAGGAAAATAAACATTGTACTTATATGGAAGAGATGAGAGAGAAGCTAAGCTAAATTATTTTAGGAAACCAAAAAGAAGGACATTCCTCACTGGATACGTATTTAGTAATTTGTTTTTTAAGTGAGAGGGACTTCTAAGAACTTCTGGCTTCTGTACCCAGAATTTAAACTTCTACTAAATGACTCAAATAAACAACTGAAGCTCATCTCTGTGAACTAGGAAAGGGAAGATGGTTTTGATTCTACTCTTTAATCTAAAAGCACATTTATTTGCTCAATAATAATGTATAAAGGACTATCTAGGCTCAAAGGAAGAGCTCAAAGTGAAGGCAAGGCATGACTTTCCTACGTCTGGGTAGTAGCTACAGGATGGAAGCTAGTCTATGCTAATGAAGTAAAATGCATCCAAAATGCTAAGCAGAAGCACAGAAGTAGGTATAAAATAAGAGGCACCGGGTCCATGAGATCACTTTCAGTCTTCTCTTGCATCTGTTCCAGAAGGGAAATTTGAGCCTCTTCTTAAGGCTAAAATGGACATAGATTAGTAGGGAGACCAGACAGTGTAAATGGGATAGGAATTCAGAGAGGAAGGGGGCAGGTATTCCTCCTGGTGCACTGTCTTGTAAACACATGTGACATGTGACACATGTGACACAGCCTGTGACATGTGATTACTCCATTAATATCACCTTCTCCCAATCTGCCACTAAAACCATACACATGGGTTTTCCTCAGCATGTGATATCCCCTCTGGTGGTTAGCATGATGCTTTGTCTATAGTAGGTGTTCAATAAATGTCTTTTCAGTATCAGAATAAAACTAAGGAATTTAAGAAAATAAAACCAATTATTAAGGATGATTTTGTCTGTATGAAATACCCAGGGCAGGGAAATTCATAGAGAAAGAAAGTGGAATGGTAGTTGTCAGAGACTGGGAATGGGGAAATACAGAATTATTTTCTGGCTTCCATGTTTCAGGGTGGGAAGATGAAACGGCTCTGGAGATGGTTGGTAGTGTTGGTCACACAACAGTGTGAACACATATGATGTCACTGAACTGTGTACCTAGAAAAGGTTATAATGGTAAATTTTATATTATATGCATTTTGCCACAAATTTTTAAAAACAGAATGATTTTCTTGAGAGAGAAGGCACTGATAAGCCCAGTGTTGTCACTGCAGATGAAAACCAGGCTTGTTTCCTTCCCTTGCCCAAGACCTATCCTATTGCACAAGGCCTATCCTATTTCACGCAGGAGCCTTGAGGTCGTTTTAATCATGGGTTGGGGTTGTTCCCAGGTCAGACAGGTGGTTTCAAGTCCAGCACTCTAGGGGCAGCTTTCTGAGCTTTCAACTCAATGTTAATTTTCTCAAATTGTCTCCTTGGAGTTGAGTCTCTCCAATTGGAACCTGGAAGAAGAAAAGTGCATAACTAATGGAGATTTGTTTTCTTCATCTTAAGGGACAAATGCAGGGGGCAGACATTTTGGCCATCAGTGAGACAGGCGAAGATGGACTTCCACGGAAGCCGAGCCGACTGTCCTCTGCCAAAGAGGGTAGCGTCCAGGGCTTGCTGCTGCCTGAAGACGTGCTATCAGGAGAAGAATCTGAGTGTGTCTCTCCTGACGACATCTCCTTGCCTCCTCTCCCTGAAAGCCCTGAGTCTCCCCTTACACTGTCATCAGACATGGAGGTGGAAGAGGCCCCCAGCCCCTCAGCCTCCAGCCTTCCCATGAGCAGCTCCAACATGCAGTCCAAGACCTGCGGCCCAGGGGAAGCCCAGGAGTCTGTTCTTCTAACACCTGTCACTTTTGCTAATGCATACAATAAGAGAGAAACATTTTCAAGTCATTTTGAGAGACCTCAAGCCCAATTCAAAGCTGAGCCCCCGTTAACCTCTGGAGGATTTCTGGAAAGCAGCACTGCCTTCCTCAAAATCAGTGCTAAGCAGCCAGAGAGCATGCCGAGTGATGTGCATGACAGAGCTTTACAGAAGCACGCGCAGGAAAGTTTGCTAGAAACACAGGAGAAAATGCATGGCCTTGGTAGCAGCACTAAAACCCAAGATAGGCTGCATGCTTCCTCTGATGTGTTCCAAGGCCTCGGCTTTCAACCAGGCACCAGCCCAGGCTTGCAGAGGCAAATGGTTCCCGGAGAAGAGGCGAAAAGCACATCAGCAAAGAGCAACATGGTCAGCCTAGCTGGCCAGGCACCTCATTTCTCTAGGCTCCTGTCCAATGTAACAGTCACGGAAGGTTCTCCAGTGACTTTGGAAGTTGAAGTAACGGGATTTCCAGAACCTACACTAACATGGTGGGTAGCCTATAATGACATGTCATAGACACACACAAACCAAAGCAGAGAGCATGTTCTGTGTGCACTAACTTAGAGACGCAGGGTTGGCTGCTGGTGCTCTGTGACCCTGCAACTCGCATGTCCCCATCTTACATCCCATTCTAGCTCTCACTTGCATAACAGCATGGGTCAAACCTTTAAAAAGGGAAAGTTTCTGCATTCAATACTCATTTAACCACTTACAGAAGCACTGGAAATCAGTTGCATTTGATTTTCTTTCTAGTTAACATTCCTCTTTCCCAGCAATGATGGGTTGAAAAACTTCCCTATTTTCTACATCAGCATGAAATGTTCTCATTTTAACACCCTTTATGTAATTTTAAAATATCTGGAATTTTCTCCTTTCATTTCATTTATCTATTCCACTTCTTCTCTCTGTCCAGCACAATCACACACATCACCATTGTAGTATCTCTGTATTTTATTAAGATTTCTTTTTTTGTAAATTCCTTTAATGCGAGAGGTGAAATAAAAATGTTTCTTTCACAGTTACACCAGGTGACAGGTAATAAACTCATTTTTGAAAGGTGGTGTAATAAAGTGAGCTATGAACAATATGTGTTTACTCTGGAAACATTATTTTTTAGCCTATTTGTTTTAGTGAAAATAAACTGCAGATTACAGATTTTAAACCACCTGTGATTGTTAACAGCAAAAGCAGTTCTAAGTTTCTCAATCTGACGGTTACTTTTGAACCTTTCAAAAGTTTCATCCTTAAATAGATTTAAGAGCAAAATAAAACATATGTGACAGCAAACTTATAAACTCATATAAGGAAGCTAGATTTTATTTATCAGTATATTTCAGTGGATAATAAATTAGTCATTTTAATTGTTGTGTGTCAAGCACGTGGACAATGCTTGACATGTGAACCAGTTACCCAAAGAACTTATTACAAAACCTCAGATTTTCCAATTAGTAGGAGGCATTGCACTTGTGTATAGTGCAACATTTGTGCTTTTTGGTTTGGTTTTGTTATTCTTTACAATGCATGTTTTTTACAAATCAAGAATTTTGTATTTATACATTTAAAGATATTTAATTCATTATTAAATATTAGTTCATTCTAAAGGAAAATGTCTGAAGTGTTTCTTGTTTTGTGCACACAAATGAATTAGTGAGTATATAACTAAAGAACCACTGTCATATGTATATTGTTAAAGAACCATTGCAAATTGTGAAAGAATATATTATTATCAGTCATAAACATTGTGTTCACTGAACAACTGACAAGCTATCAGGAAACCATATAATCTTAGGGTACTGAGAAAAATGCAAAGGTACTACTTGAGCAATAAAAACAAAAAATTATTCAGGTTGACTAACAGTTCTTGTAGAGGAGAAAGTTGACCTACATAAATAACAAACATATAACCATCTATAATATACAGAATAAATTATCACTTCTCAGTCTGTTTTATGTAAAGATCTAGGTTAGTGTTCATGTCTGTAGGAAACGTTTGCAAATATGTTATTAACAGTCAAAAGCCAATTGTAAAAATGACTTTCATAGTGAAAAGTTATCTTTTCATGAAATTAATTCACAAAAATGAAATGAACTCATTTTACAGGGAAGTATATATAAATACCTTCCTCTGACATAGTATTTCTGTGATATCGGATCTGGGGCAGATGCGTCTCACCCCAACACAGATTCTAAGATGGCATCACAGCTGTTCTGCCATAGTGGCAGAAAGGATGAGGCAGACTGACTATGAGCTGCCATTTCATTCTCTAGGAAACTGTTGCCACAAGCAAATCATGCATCAGTAGGACCAGATGGCTCAGTTTTTGAGAGGAACTGAATATCTGAATTTTCATATTGTAATACTTCAAATTTTAAATGTTGTCCAAAATTCAATTGTTCAAAAAACATAGTCTGAGCCAATCAAGGAACTTCTTGGCCTACCAGTTGCCAATCTCGAAAAAGTAACAGCCTCGCGGCACTCTGTGGTCGCCAGGAAGTTCCTGCTAATCCTGGACAAGACTGCAGGGGGAATGGGCCTACTTACAGTAACTGTTAGAACTTGAAAATGATATGGATAAAGAGTAATCCTGACTTTAAAAACTGACTTTCTGCTTTAGGTACAGGAAGGGCCAGCAGTTGTCTGCAGATGGGCACTTTCAGGTTTTACACAAGGAGACAAAGCATTCGGTGTTCATTCCGAAGGTACGTGAGGCGGATGCAGGCCTCTATGTGGCACGGGCCCAAAATTCTAGTGGCACTGTCTCTTCCAGTGTCATCCTCCACGTGACAGGTAACGTCGGGCCACCCATCACAAGAATCAACTGGATAATGCTGTGTGTCATCTATGTTAGTGTGTCCCTGATGTACTGGCTACTCACACAGTAACTGGTATTGGCATCAAGGGACATCATTCTTTGAGCCTCGGGGATGACAGAGTTGTTTACTCTTTGGAACCTCCAAGAGAGCAGCCCCTACAAAGGTGTCTCTGCTCTGGCCATCTTGCTTGCTTGGCTAATACAACTTACAAGGTGAAAAAATGCCGCATCTTCTTCAACTGGTTACACCGAGGAACTTCAACTGGTATTTGAGGAAGTTGGTAAGTTAGGTGCTGTGGATAAGGATATATTTTTGTGCTCTAGAAAGATGTATTCACTGTAGTATGCAGCAAAATTATACTATGCTTTTTCCGTCCTCATCAAAGGACAGGCAGATGAGTGATGACATTGGACAGAGATGTGAGCTAATTTGCATTTCCAGTTGTTTGATAATTTATTCTTAATTGTACTCATAAACTTTTTTTCAGTGCATAGCAGTAGAACTATTGAGCTGCAGTTGTGACTGTCAACATTGCATTAGCTGTCCTATTTTTCATGGGTTGATCTCATCTCTTGAAGTATATTCTGTGTAATTTCAACATGGACTACATTCCTAAGTCTGAGAATGTCATTGTAAATAGTCCTTCCTCATGCTGATTTCACAAACTTGACACTGGAGAATAGATGTGCTACTAACTGTAAATGAGGTTTCAATTTTCCATCGGATCCACACTTTATAGATCAACATGAAATAGGAGTTGCAGGAATGGACCAACATTATACCTGTCATTCCATTGGTGTGTTTTTTGTGTCCATGTAGACAAATGTAATCAGCTCCTCCTGCCTCTTATGTCCATTATGCTGCTGACCACTTTCAGAGTATGTAGTAAAGCATCTCATTGCCTCAGATTCCCATCTGAACAATGGGTGCATTGTCTACCTCTTGGAAAATTACAATTTTTCATTTCATGTCTTGTAAAGATCTAGAAAATAGAAAACATTCTACAAAGGTTAAAAGTGACTGTATTGTTTAATTTGTCATCACACTGGCCTACTGCCCACTGTTACTCTTTCAGATAGTGTTTCTTTAGAATATTAAACTGAAAGAGTGCCATTCATGTACAACTTGCAACTGTTCGCAGAAGGGAAAATGATCTTAAAAATAGGAGATAAATTCCTTTCTCATTTCTTACACTTGTATCCTTTTCAAAGACTTGAAATTAAACTCAGGAAGACACATTTAGAATGTTGTAGATTAAGTATGTAATAAGATAGTAAAGGTGAATTCTGGCATTTTTACAAATACCATTATAATGCTGAAAACTGATATATTCCTTTTTAAAATGCACTATTTCCTTTGAAAGATCATTTTTCAACTTTGTTAAATAAGTGAGGTATTTGTTTTTTAATATTTGAATGTAGTCTGTCATGGTAGGACAAAATCTTTAGTTGAAAAAATAATTCATCACAGATTTTTGATGAGGGGAATTAATTATGTTGCTAGCAGATTGTCTACAAATAATCACAATATTTAAATGTAATATATTCAAGTTGATATTAAAAAGTTACGGAGTGCTATCTGATGATATGAATGTCTAGTCAAGTATAAAGTTGGCATCGTAGCTTGTACTGCATATTCAATTTATTTAGAAAATTAAAACTCTTAATTTTTTTCCAAATTTTGTCAAAGCCTGTTAAATGCTTATATATGTCTTTTACCACTCCTATCATTGTTATCCAATTTTAAGTGTCTGTGTATTTTATCTAACTATTATTGCCCATGTGGAAACTAAGGAGTAAAACCTATTCATATCTATAAGAGGGAGGAGGACAAGGTAACAAATTCTCTCTCTTCACACTTTCAATCTCTTGTTTATTTGGTGGGATTTTTAATTTTTATTCACATGATCAATTTTGAGTACAGGAATTTGTAAGGCAGAGAAATCACTTGTTGGTTTTATCTGCTGTACTCCAGTTAATGTTAATCGTTTGGGGAACAGGGTAAGCTATAAATCCATCCTAAATGTCTGACCATATCACACATGTCAAATATGTGGGTAAGTTTGCATATGTAAGTTGAGCTCCAATACTGAGAGAAGAGTCTTATGCTGATATTAAAACATACTTATTCTATTTGCTTATCCGTCTGTATTATTGATCAACTATTCACACTTTTATGAAGAATAAGCTGCAACATTAATATTCTGATTGTTTTAATTTTAAAAGTTTAAATTTAAAAATTTAAAGTTTAATTTTAAAAGTTTCTGGGATTTCTTTTTTCTTCTTTTTTTCCTTGCAGTACTAGTGAGTGAACCTCGGGTTTGGAGGATATTGGGCAAACACCATAACATTGAGCTATATCCCCAGCCTTTTTTTTTTTTTTTTTAATTTTGAAACATGGCCTCATTAAGTTGTCCAGAATTGCCTTGGACTTATAATACTACCGTCTCAGCCTCGTGAACAGCTGGGATGACAGGCATATGCCCCCACTCATCTCTGGGATTTCTATCTCGCTCAAAGTATTCTCCTCTATAAAAATACGTATCAAAATTGCAGTTTTAAAAATGTAAGACCTAGAAATTTGAAATCATGTTTTCATTTTAAGTATATCCATGATTTATACTTCTAGAGAAAATTCTGCACAGTTAGTAATTTAAAGTGTAATAAAATGTTTTAAATCATATACATGTAACACTCTGAAGGAATGTGAAATTTTTGAATTTTTAATAAGGCGAAATCATTGTTTTCAGTTTTGATTTTCCAATGAAGGATACATAAACACTTGGTAATAGTTTTTTATGCTCTAGTCTGAAATTTATTATAGAATTACTTAGATCTGAGATGCTGAATATCTTATAATACTTGAAAAAGGAAGTAGAAAAATAATTTAGGTATTTTAGTAATAGTGGTAACTGTCACTTATGTAGTTACAGGTCTTCCATAGACGACTGCAAGTTTAATTCTCTTGAGTGTTACAACCCCAAGCTCTTTACTATCTGGCCTTCCCTTCTCACCTCTGTTCCATCCCCTTCCACGCCCTCATCTGTAGTAAGACATTTCACTTCATGGTTTTAAGCAATTGCACTTTTCGCTCTGTCTCTTTCTTCTAGAATTTCCTTCCTATATTCTACTCTGTCTGCTGTGGTTGAACTCTTGCCTATCCTGTGGTTCCATTTAAGACACCAGCAGTTTACCAGGCTCTCCCGCGCTGGCGTAGATGTTCCCGCTATGCGTCCTGTCAGCATCTAGACCATCCTACATCCTGTAACGTGCAGCATTATAATTGCATGTCTGAGTCTGTCTCCTCTTGATAGACTGTGAAATCTTTATCAGCAGGATCCATGACAGCCCTGTTCATTTTATTTCCAGAGCCTAAGACATAGTCACACTCAATAAATATTTTTCAAGTTGAATTGTTGTCAGAGGAAAAGAAAAACAAACCTAGCTTTTGTATGTGTGTTTTAAAAAATTTCTCTGTAGAGGGATTGGAGAGAGAATGTAGAAAGACAACGATTATTTTTCCTGATGGATATGGGTCTGTCAGAATCAGGATCTGGTCAGAGCCATGCATGAAATTTTCCCACTTAATTTACAAAACATACGTGAGAACCTTTAGTCCCTATAGGATAGACCTTGAGTGAAAAATTTAAACCTTGAAATTGATTCTGGCTCCTGGAGTCAAAATAATAGTTTGGAGGAAAGAGGAAAAAACCCCAGCACCATTGTTTCAGCATTTAAAGCAGGTGTACGGAGGCATCACTCACATCAGATATAAGTGGGAAAGCAGGTTTGTCTGCTGTCATGAGCTAAATCAAGAAGTCAAAATGGAATGTGTGTGTTTTGTTAGAGCACTACATAAATTATCAATATTTAAATGTATCTGGGGATTTGTACTCTGTGAGCAGATCTTACTTGAAACCAGTATGTCATACATAATTGTAAATATTAAAAAAGCCAAATCCAAAACTTCACAGTACTTGAGTTCCAAATCAAAGAACATTGTATCTTGTCTTGCTTTATGTTTGTCTTTATTCATGACAGTTCCTGACTGAAATTTACCATCTAAAGCTTTTGTCAGTCTCTCCTACATACGGGACTTTAAGTGTAGCCATAAAGTTAGTAGAAACAAAATAAAATATCTCCTCCCAGTCTGCACTGATATTATGCATATCAATGTGGATGCCAGAGCACGACAGACTGTTTTCCATGTATAATAAGCAGAAGCTTGAGCTGCATCAGAAAGCCAAGAGATTTGCATGCACTAAATGAAACAGTGTCCTGCTGAAAGCATAACAAATCGTTTTCTCTGCTCTCATCACAGGAGATGAGATTTGAATGCTATCTGTTGTGCATTAGTTCAACCTTAAGATCAAAAGCACAAAGCTGCTAATTTGGCCTTTTTCCATGAGTGTGCACAGTACTGTTCTTGGGTTGGTAAGAGTTTATATAACATCATGAACCACCTAATGAGGAAGGTTGGATATCACATTCCTCCCAATGAACAAGACTACGATTTTAGATTTTGAGTGTTTGGCTAGCTAGTTCTTCTTCCTGTTTAATATCAAATTTATTTGTCTAAACCAATTCAAGGCAAGTCTGATTCCTTGGACCCAACTTTTTGTGCCATTTTAAAAATAAAATTCCATCCTCCTTAAAACAAGAGAGCAAAAGAAACTATATAAATAAGAATGTTTAAATATGCATATATTTCCTGTTAGCACCAAAAATTGGATGAAAAAATATTTTTGCCATTGAAGTAGCTAGAAAACATCAATCAAATCTGATTTTGTGCCAGCACAATAATAGTTACATAATTTGAAGTTTTCTATTGATATGTGGATGGATACCTGCTATGACTCTTTTCCCATTTAGAACCCACTTAAATATCAATAGTTGTGAAATAATTGCTCCAGAGCTAGGGAATAAAATTAAATAATCTTTTCCCTTTGTCATTCAGCAACTGTTCCTTTTCCAAGAAGTTTATTGATCTGAACAACTACAACATGGTATTTTTATCTTCTGTTAGCATTAAAAATCATACAATGAAACCTTCTGAAGAGAAAACAAGGGGTGAAATGTACGGGAGCATACTTTACCCACAGCAAATAGTCTCTAAAACATGTTGCTGTGATATTGCCGGAGAGTCATCTTTCTTTGTAACAAGTATTCTGCTTACCAACACACAAACCAGCTGCTGGCAAATAGGATCAGTAGAGAAACAAAATAGGCAGCACTCACCTGCAGGATCAGAGGGGTGGAACTGCCCAGCTGCTCCAATGTGTCATCTTTACCAGCGAGGGTGACCCTAAGGCCAGCCTGTGATTGCAGTTAGCACATTCCCAGAAAGTACCTACTAAAATGCGTTTTCATTTGTTTTGAACACTGTTACGTGGATAGTAGAATTTCTTATCAGATTTTGGTTATCAGGTAAAAGTATTTTTTCTCCTCCAAAAAAACAGGTATGAATGGAGTACATGGGAATCTGAAAGATTTGTGTGCTGTAACCCCCTTGGGTTGGTGATTGGGGAAATGAGGGATGGGGAGAGGAGAGCAGCCAATGACAGGGTGTGTCTGCTTTGGGTTTCTTCTCCGCTCTGGGTGGATTTCCTACAGATCTGGGAAGTGTGTAAGGAAAGCTCTTGAGAGGAAGCTAGAGGCTATGATAAATTGTACCTGTCATTTTTATTATCCAATTAAAGGAGTATCTAGGTTAATAGTGTCAGGGTAGACCCTAAATCCAAAGACTGGCATCCTTATAGGCCAACCAAGACAGAACAGAGGAAACTGACAAAGGAGAAAGCCACGTGATGACACAGGCGGAAATTGGAGTTAAGTGGCTGCTGCAAGCCGTGGAGCATCAGAGCTCGCAACCACCGGAGGCCAAAAGAAGAGAGGATTCTTCCCTCCAGAGTTATGAAAGAGCACGATCCTACTGATTTGTACTATGTACTTTGGAATTTCTCTGCTCAGAACTACGAAATAATAAATTTCTTTTATTTTAAGCCACCTAGTTTGTCGTATTTTATTACAGTAGCCTCAAGAATTACATAAAAAGATCCTATTTTAGAAAAGTCAATATAATTCCATTTCTGACAATAAAGTTGCCAGAATCATTTTTTAAACACCCATTAGCCTTTCAAAGTGGTACTCTGAACGTATGCTGGAATGCCTCTGTTCTCAACTTCAGGCAGTCCAGTTAATCAACAAACATTCATCTTCTACACTAACATCTTCTCTGAGGTGCATTGCGGTTCTAAAAGTTCTAGGGAAACATAAAACCTCAGGATCCATGTCTACTACTTGCTTGATGATGATGTACATGCAAAAATAGAAAACAAAGCAAAGCAGCATATACTCTGTGAGGAAAAAAAATGGGCTCCAGAGTAGGGGAGAAGCAAAAGAAAGTTGTGTTTAGAGATATAACTGAAGGGCTGGGAATTTAGCTCAGCAGCATAAGCGCCTGCCTTGCAAGCAGGCAGTCGTGAGTTCGATCCCTGGTACCGATAAAAATGAAAAGACTACAAAAAAAAATAGTTCTTAGAAATATAACTGAAGTAGTAATATGTAGTATAATACTGTGTAAGAAAGGCAAGAAGTTTAAGAAATTATATTAATAAAAGGCAAGCATTAGGATCTATATGACCTGAGCAGCAATATCAACCTACTTAGGATGACACTTACAGAATGGTCCTTCTGACATCAGAATATATGCTCTTCTATGCTCATTCAGAGCATTTACCAAGCTAGTATACATTCTTGGTCATAAATCACATTTTAACTAATATAAAATGAAAATAATAACCATATGAAACATTTCCTCAAACCACAGTGCAGTAAGAAATCAATAACAGAAAGCTCAAAAATCTCAAAATGTTTGGAGATTAAACAATATACTTCTCCATACTACATGTATCCAAATATATCTCAGGATTTTTAAAATATTTTGAAATAAGAAAAATACTAATCAAAATGTATGGGATGTAGAAAACGTTTCTAGAAAAAAATTCATGGCACTGTAATATACATGTTATCAAACAAATTGAAAAACCAGTAGTCCAAGTTTTAGTCTATAGAAAGTAGAAATGAGAAATGGGTATATAAGCCTATAGCAAGCATGATAAAAAATTTTTAAA